TAGCATGGTCCCTCGTTTGAAGAACTTACGCCGGGAGAGGAACACGTTGGCCAGAGAACAAATGCGAATTACAGCTGTGTGTATCGGCAAGTTAACTTGCCGATACACACAGGACTCGCCGGGAGTAGAAGCGATGATTGCCAGTGGGCGAGACTAACGGCGGAGCGTCTCAGTCAGGAGAGAGAGGGAACGTGCCTGAGAAAACGACGCCGTGAGGACCGAGGGATGAGATCCGCTCCTGCGCAACATGGTACACTGCATCGCGAGACCATGAGAGATGGCGGCGGCTTGGGGAGGCCTTCATCCAGCAGTAGATAGATCATGGCCGATGGTGATCATAATCATGGCGATGTGTTTTTTTCCTCTATAAATGCCGCAGCTGCCGCACGTTTGCGAGTTATTTTGCAAGACTTGTTGTGGGCTGAGGTTGCATGCGCCATCTCATTAACAGTTTGGCAGATTTGTGTAAGTGATTACTTATTGAAATTAAAATAAAAAATATTTTTAAGGAGTAATGATTTTTTTAATACAATTTTTCTCAATTTCCAACTTTGCGTGCGCCGCCTCTTGAGCCGCACGTGTAATAAAGCAAACCTCGGCCAAAAATGGAAGTCCCGCAGTCCCCTTCATTAATTAGAACTGTGAAACGTACCAACTATTTTCTTGCAGAGACAGCTTCATCATTTTTAGAAAACCTGTCGAATCTCACCGGCGGTAACGTGGTTATCGGTCCTACGCACATCACAGACTAGCCGGGATATGATTAAGCCAGTAATTATCACAAATTTACCCCAGTGAGCCTACTGTGGATAATGACTTGGCACGATATTGTATTGTGACGGATATTAGCAAAAATGTACGTGCACAGCACTAGAAAGCATCACCGTAATGGAAATATTTGCTGACACATGCCGCCTTAATTTAGCACTCCCGGCCTAGCTAAGCTCGATCAAACTGCTCTGAACTGTAACCTTACGTTATACTTTCTTTTCTTATACTTTCTTTTCTCGACGAGGCCAGCAAAAAAACGCTAGCACGAGGGTTAAAGGACAAGTGCGAGACGCTTCTCTGTAGTCACCGCCTGCGATAAAAATTAAATATGTATGTTGAACTTTTTTTTCACCGTACGTAGCCAACCGTGTTAATCGGAGGTGCGGGGTGGGTGGGGAGGACAGCAAACTAAACACGAAAAGCAGTCCTAAAGAAATTAGCTTTCAACCTAGATTTAAAAGTGGATAGCGCCAGCGGCTACCTGATATCAGAAGGAAGAGCTTTCCGGCCGGCCGCAGAAGCGCATCTGGAAGTCTTAGCTCAATTGAGAGGGAAGGATGGGTGGTGGAAAGATGGGATAGCTTTGGAGCTTTTGGCAACAGTGTTAAAGGGAGAGAGTGGGTGTCGGGCAACTTAGCTGGACCCCTGACCCCAAAGTGTGTGTGCCCCCTAATTTGTTGAGGAGAGACGTCCGTCCGTGCGGTGTGGACGATGGAGGGGCGCGCAGGGCGGGGGGCGGGGTGGGGGGGGGTGGAGGACATGGGGCCCACGAGGCCTGGCCGAGACGCCCGCAAGCCCCAGGCTTCCCCCGGCTATCGAAGTTTGTGGGTGCTCGGTGGCCAGCGCCTGGCAGCCCGCGATAGGGCTCGCGACTTTTTTTTTTTTTTGCGTGGACGCTGATCGCAGCGCGGCGATAACGCACACGGGGGGCCCCGGGAAACGGCTCCCGCGCGCCGTGCGCCCGCCCGCGCGCGTCTCGGTCCACCGTGCAAGCGCCGAGATGGCGGAGCGATCGTGCCCCCCCACGGTGGACGATGATTTGAGAGTCGGGTGGACGGGACGAAGGTGCGCCAGTTGGGGTTGCCGGGCCTAATGTGAGAAGGTTCCACTCGCAGTGGGCTGTTTTCGGCGTCTTGATTTGGAAGGTGAGAAGGCGGTGTTTCACGCGTTGCGTCTTCTCCCGGTTGTAAATTATTTATCAGCTTTATGTCTGGGCGCAGCTGGGGCTTGGAACTCCCTTCCTGGTTCTGCCTTTTTGATCTAACATAACCCACAGTTCAAGATGCCTGGCAACTCAACCCCAACATCCTCCAGCACACTCTCTTTTTTCGGCCGCTTTGCATCAAAGGCTCGGGATCGTCATCGCTTCATCACAATGCGACAGCTCGGGGAGACCTTCATCCAGCAGTGAGTCGAACTTGGCTTATGATGATGGTGTTACCACAGCCTCCCCCCAGCTGGCCGAGCACCACGCGTGTGCCGTTTAAACGTCTCGGTTGTTGTCGGTTTTAATTTTTCCCGTGAGCCTCTCTGCCGGGTGTCTTGGTGCGCTATTCCGCACGTTGACGTTGCCCGTCTTCCCGGGCAGTGCCGAGAGATCGCGTTGCTGTCTCGGCACGCACGGCGCGGCGTGGGAATGTCAGAAATCCGAGCGACTCGCGCGTGCGGGGGCTTCGTTGCGCCCAACGTCAACGCAGCCCTGCGGCGGCAGCCTGCGGCTTGGTACGCAGCCACAGGTAGCGCTGCCACAACCCCTCCCCCCCTCCTCCTTGCCTTTCGTTGGGCCATGTGTGTGGCCGCACGTCAGCCATTCTCAGCCAACCGATCTCTTCGTGCAACTGGAGGCCTGGCAGTCTGGCGTGTGAGGCCACGGACAGCGCCTTAGCAGCATCCTCTCTGGGCCCCGCCAATGCGCCACTGTCGGCCTTTCACCGCGGCCCGAGTCGTTGGGGCTACGGCGGCCCGGGCCGGTCCGCCGACCTACGGCGCTCCGGGTTGCCGTGGAGCGGGCGGTCGCTTTCCCAGAAAACCGCACGCTTCCCCTCCCTCGCTGCCCACCCTCCTCGCAGCAGATACGCAGGCCGCAGGCTGTTAGTGTTCGGAGGCAATCTCTCATCTTGGCCTAATTTCAGGAAAAACCCTGCGAGGGAATAACAATGAAGTGAGAATTTCACCCGAGCGCTTGAAACACGGCAGCGGGGTGCTCCTAACTGGACCCAGTCCCATTTTTCAAGTTTTTTTTTTTCCCCTGCTTTTATTATTTCGTCCCTCGCTCCATCAATATTTTAGTTAGCGCAAAAAAATATATACTACCGGCAGCCAGAAAACTTTGCTTAACATTTTTATTAATATGCCTGCTTCATAGAAACTTCAAAGGAGGTTTTCATGAAATATTCAAACCCATAGTCTGCAAGAAGGTCGTGTGTTTTATACTTAATTGGATCTTGGCCATTATTCATCTTCATTGCCGTGGACGTTTGAGCTTTGAGCTTCATATTTGGGGACGTACCGCGATGCCACGGCCAGCCGAGAGCGTGCCCAAGCGACGTACCGCGATGCCACGGCCAGCCGAGAGCGTGCCCAAGCAACGCTCTCGGCTGGCCGGGAGCCACGGGAGGAAGAGGAGGCGGAAGAAGAGAAGGTGGCGGCGTTTCGATACATTTGATGCGTTGTTTTGAAGGCACTCGCCCACGTTCCCCCAGACGCACGACTCCCGGCCGGTTGTCCTTACCCCCGCGTGCGTCGCTCCGTCGGCAATACCCGAGCTCCCCCGCCCCCGCAAATCTACACCTGCCACATGGGGGGGACCCCCCCCCGATCGCTGGGAGGCGATAGGGGGGTCACGTGGCAGAAAGAGGGGGGGCGGTTGCTGGACCACAGCTGTGGTGGGGGGCACTTAGCCGCACATACACACACCTGCCTCGCTTCTCCGTAATCTGTGCCCCCCACCCTTCTCCCCCCCCCCCTCCCCCACACACACCCATGCACGCGGAAGTAAAAAGTGGGAATTCCTAGAACTCCTCTTCGTGCGCTATTTTAACACGGCCCGCGCACTCGCTGGCCTTGTGTCCCGTGGATACTCACTGCCGTGACGCTCGCCGTCACGTTGCCCGCGGCGACCCCCGGTGAATGCCGGGGGTCGCCGCCCCCGGTGGGGGAGCCGCCGTTTGCAGCGATGTTGTTTACCGCCTGGGCCAATTTTGTAATTGAAGCGAGCGTCGCACGCGGGCCCCTCTCTCGCCGCGGGTGATTGATCGATGGTCGATCGCATTTTCGTTGGCCCGGGCTGTGATGATGAAGATGATGAAAAGCCGCGGCGTTGATGCACGAACTCGTAATCGAGCTGTAACTTACGGACCGCTGCCGTTGGCGCGTCCGCACGCGCGGGAGGGGTGGTTAAGTGGAAATGAAACGCCTTCGGTGTGTCCACCGCCCACCCCAACACCCCTCACCGCCTGACGAGATCAGCTGCCCGTTAACGAGTGCAGAGAAGTGTATTGGTACCCCGGTGCGTTTGGAGCTTTCGATACGATCGATGCCGTGGGTCACCCAACCCGGTCACCTGCGAGGAAATCGGCGCAACACTTGTGCAGCGGGCGGTGGCTTGTTTTTTGTCAGGAATCATTCGTTCTCAATGATCGTCCCCCTCACGGAACCCTGAGAATCCTAACCGAGCCTTGATCCAGTTCTACACAGTGTCAGGAATTAACGCCGAATCCTAAGAATTCTATCCGAGTCCGGAACACGGAACCCAGGCGAGTGCTGCTGGCGCCACCGACACTCTGTGGCGCTCTACCGTCAGCCGTGCCACTCGCCCCGTGCTCACTCGCCACGCTCGTCCACGCTCGTCCACGCTCGTCCCACCCTCACCCCAAACTCGCCCCACACTCGTCCAACGCTTTCCCCGCACTTTTCCCGCACACATCCCAAACTCGCTCCACACTCGCCCCACCCTCGCCCCACATTCTCCCCACAAACTCGCCCCACACTCACTCGTCCCACGCTTTGCCCCACGCTTGCCCTACACTCGCCTCATACTCGCCACCTAACTCGCTCATCTCACTCGCCCCACACTCGCCCCACACTCACTCACTCCACACTCTCTCCACACTTGTCTGGGAACCTTCTGCTGCTGCTGCTGCTGCCTGCGGTGTCCCCGAGTCAGATCACACCGCTGGCGGCGGCTGCGTTTGATAGCGGCGCCCGTGGGGGGGGGGGGGGTAAGCGACAGTGCCGCTGCCTGTTATGTCGCTGGGTATTTTGCGTTTTGAAGAGCGTGGGTGGGATCGAGCGCGCCTCTGATCTCCGTCTGACGGCCGAATTCATTGTTTTCCTTTTGCAAGCGTTCATGGGGGCACCTTGATATGTTGTCACCAAGCGATAGAAAGAAATAATTCCACCGTTTTGACCTTTTCGAGGTTTTGCTAGAGGCCCGTCAATGTGGATCTCCGTGTAGGGTTGTTAAACTGTGCTCCTATTGGTTTGCATTTCTGCAATGTGTCCGACTGCATTTCTGCAAACCAATAGGTCAATAGGCCACGTGACCGATGTCCGACTCAAAATTGGTCGGCCACCAAGACGACGACCGGCGCGTTGACTTGTTTTAAAACAACGCGCGCCGTAAATTCTCGCGACGCATTTGTGTAATGTCCTGCGTCTGCGCACTGTACTTTGGCAGCTGTGAGCCGGTGGCTTGTTTTCGGCCCATTTACAGATTGCTTTTGCGCCTCTTGGCTTTTATGCGCGAGCGGAGAAAATTTAATTCGGCGGCGAGCTGTGAACATAACCGAGCGGGGCGAAGCGAGCGAGCGAGAACAGCACGCTGTGCCTCTCTTTCAAATGCAAAACACGGCGGTGGCCAATAAATAAATTGCACGGCACGGAAGCGGCTTTGAGTGGCTGTCAGGTGGACGGAGCCACGGCCGCTGGGCCGCGCGCCTCCCCATTGGACGGCGAGCGGAGCGGCACCGCTGTCGCCACCCTGCAAGCTCCTCCCCGCCATGGCCCCCCTCCCCCGCTGCCCATCACGCAGCGCCTATTTTTAGCTCCCTCTTTCCCAGGGGCAGCTTTTGTCTGCAGCCCATGATTCATCATGAGCAGCACTCTCCCTCCCTACCCTTGCCCGTGCTCTCCCTCCCTCTCTCCGTCCCTCCCCTCCCCTCTGCTCGCTCGCTTTCACACTCTTCCTTTCTTCCCCATCCCGGAGCGGACGACGCACACAGGAAGAAGTCTCGCCTCGCATGCCGGCGCGGTGCGACGCGCGGTGCGATGAGCCTCAAGCGCGGTGCCCCCGCATGTTAATGGGCGGCAGCGTCCACGAGCAGCGTGTTCTCATTGTTTAGTCCACACCTGGCGCTTGGAGCGGCCGATAAGCAGGTGAAGCGCTCGCGTTTGCGCCCGCTCGCCAGCAGCCAGACGCGCTCGGCAAGAGCCAGGCTGCGTGTGCCCGATTTTGCACGTCGACTGAGCAACTGTTTCCCAGACAAAATTCGATGATCTCACTTTGTAAAACGTTTATGAGCAACCGGCTGCGGTAATTTTATCAGCAGGTGACGGAAAGCCTTTTGCAATGACAGTGTTTCATATATTTTGTGTCCGATTTGGATGTGTGCCTCTATTTGCCCCCACGATGTGTGCATGTACACTCTGACCGTACCGCGCACACACACAGCCAGATGCTTGGGGGGGGGGGGGGCGGGATTGTAGCGTCCTGCGCCTTGCCGCGTCCGTGAGGTCCACGCGTTTTCTACGCCCGCGGGGTCAACGCGCCATCGCGTTCGGAAGGTCCGCCCGGAACGTCGGGCGGGACGCGCGTGCGCCGTGCCGCTGGCTCGCTCGCTCACACACGTGGCCGCCTCTGTCTCCTCGGTTCGCAGACAGCTTGCCCGGACGCGAGAAAGTCGGGGAGCTGACGTCTCACCGCCTGCCCGCCGCTGCCGCCGCGCGCTCCGGCCCGGGTAAGGAGGCCGCGTGCGCAGGGCGACCAAGCTGCGTCTTTGGTGGTGGCAGGGGGCGGCGGGGAGCGGGAGAGGTCCACCCGCACCGCCTTCTCCCCCCCATGCTGCGCGGGGCTCGGCCTCACGCTTCCACGAGCCGCGCTCGAGTTCGTCGGCACCCGGTCCGCGGGTGACGCGGCACGACGGTAGCGTTTGGTTTTCTTCGCGTCGATTTTAGCCGGCGACTCTGAAGACTTTTGTCTTTTTTTAGGTCCCTTGTTTATGTGACCACTCGTTTGGGGGGTGGGGGGGGGGTGCCAACAGCCTTGACCGGGTGGTGGTGACCGGCCGCATTTAAACAGAGCCTCCCTATTCTTGGCCCGAGTCACGGACCCTCGGAATGACAATGGGATAACCCTCCTGGGGTCGCGACCTGCGTGTTGGGAATCGCCGCTGCACAGGAGGCTGCCCAGAGTCGTGGTGGGGGAAAGAGGCTCACGGTGGAGCGTGCAATGCACCGTTCAATGCATTTCTTTTATAGATTTTTTATGGGCACCGTGGTGGCGGGATGTCAACTACCTCGCCTGATATGGAGGAGGTCGTGGGTTCGATCTATACCCTGATGCCTGTATACCTGGAGTTTGCATGTTCTTCTCGTGGTCGTGTGGATTTTTCTCCGGGTCCTTTGGTTTTTACCTCCACATTTAGAAACGTGAATTTAGAGTATTTGGCTGCGATATATTTCCACGTGGCAAGTCACTTCGTTGAGCTATAATTTGTGGCCACGTCGCTTCTGAAAAAGCCCTATACAGCTCAGTGAGCCTTAACTGGTAAAACAAAATAAGTTGAGTTTATCCACATTTAAAAGTTTCTATACATTTTTCTTTTGGGAGGGACACTGGACAAATTTGATTCCTTTCTCCAGGATATTAACTCCATTCGTTGTGCGCGGCGAGGGAAGGAAAAAAAAACGTCAGCGTCGTGAAATGTTGACGAGGGGAAAGGGGGTCGGTGCGCGTGGTCAGATTTGACGGCTGGCGGCAGAGTGCGGGAGGGGGCAGCAGTGGAGAGGAAGCAACTACACACACTGCCCGCGGCCGTCCACGGCATTGAGAGTGAGGAGGAGGAGGTGGCAGTGTTTGCGGGAGCAGACAAAGCTAAGCGGGGAGTGGGGTGAGGAACCAGTGGGGGCTCCCAGGTTCCGCTCGCGGCGCAAGCGAGAGAGTGGCCGCCTGGGTGTTGTTACCACCGTCCAGGGACTGGTGCTGCCGGGGGGGGGGGGGGAAGGGTGGGGGGGGGAGCTCGGCGTCGCCTGGCGGCCGCGCGACCAGAGTGCAATAAACGCCGAGTGCCCGCCGGCCAAGACGGTGCGTGAATTGTGGAGCCGATAACGGTGACTCCGTCCCATTGTTACGTTACAACGCCGAGGCACCAGGTCACCCTCACTCCCCACCCGACCCCCCCCCTACCCGACACCCCCCCCCCACCCACCGTCAACCGTAGCACCGTCCCTCCCGCCAGCCCGTCCGTGTTTATCTCGCGCTAAATAGAAAGGGCCTTGTTTCATGTGCGTCTATTCTGGTCGGAGCTATTGCTGGGGGCACAAACGCGTGCTGTGTTCAGAAATGACAGGAACGCGAGCAGGGCCCGGCCAGATGCACGGCCCGTTTGTGTCACACATCTAAAAATATTTAATCTGCTTCTCATCCTTAATCCTCGGCCATCTGGCCGTTCGCATGCACCATTCTCCTCCAACCCTTGTACGTGGCCAGAGCGCGCCGCGTGCTAAGCAGCCACCTCGCGCTGATGGGGAGCGCGCGAGCCGCGCGCATTCCACCTGTTGATTTTATATATGTTTTTTTTACGGCCGCGCAGACGTGGATTTTAATATTGATAAGTGTGACTTGCACTGTAAATGCTCCCTTTACAGCACAGGCAGGGCGCCCGGCGCAGCCTGGAGTACACAGATGATCTGTAAATATTGACCGACACGGAGCGTATTTGTGTGGCGGGGGGGGCGGAGTGGCGGGGTGGGCGGGGCATGGCTTCTGCCAGTCGAAGGATCGACGTGATGAGAGATCGGTTTGAGCTCTCGTCTACGTGGGAGGCTGGGCTTCAGATATCCGCACGCTTGGGAGCCAGTGATCACGGCCAGAATCTCTTGGAACGGCAGCAGCAGCAGGAGGAGGAGCAGCAGGAGGAGCGGTGGCCCGTTCTTTGAATAATGAGGTGTGCCACCTTTCACGGCAGCAATCGATAATCAAGGCAGGCTAGGAAAGATCCGTGCATAAGCGCATGGCTTATGTAATGCTTTCACACGTGCGTTTGCCATCGGAAGTATTTAATTATCAGCATCGAAGCTGACGGGGAGCTATCGGGCTAAAATGTCTTTGTGCATGTTAGGAAGAAGTGGTTTTAGCACTGCTGTGGGTCTCTGAAGTCTTGGCCAATATTTTCACCAGTTTGGCCGTTTTTCATGCAGGCCATTCATGAACAGCAGCACAAATTTACGCTGCAGGTTCGTTCGTATGGTGGCATCTCAACAAAAGTTATCATGCCCCCCCCTACCGCCCACCCCCCCTCTCATTACAAACGGACGGAGAACGCTGACGGTCGACGCTTTGGACCGCTCCGCAGGAGTTGACGTTACCTCACCGAAACCACCGATACCTGGGAGGTCGCTGCGTGCATTTTAATTAGCAACGACATTCCAGAGAGGGGGGGGGGGTACGTTGCGCGCACATTAATTTTAGCGTCAGAGGCGGTCTCCCGGGAGAAGGCGAAGAAGCCACAGAGGCAACGAGAGCGCTAATCCCCGCTCAACAGTCGTGCGTGTGGCGCGTGTTGCCCACCGCCCGGCGGGGGCTGTGAGAAGTGGGGACCAGCTGTTTTTGGCACGGGCGTCGTGCCACGCACGGGCTCGTGCCACACGCGGAGCGGCGGCGGTGGCGCGCGCCCGCGTCTTGAGCTATTCCCGCCTGAAAACAACAACCTTGCCGTCGCAAAAAAGCTTTTGAGCCTCCTTTTCCGAAGAGAAGTGTGTGTACATTTTTATTCCAACTGTTTTACCCTCATCGCGTTCTCGGTGGCATTTGGGGGGCTGCAACCTATGAGAGCAATACTCGTCACATGGCAATCAAACCGATGTTGTGTAATTCTCATAGCTGGAATTTAGCCAAATTGGGAGCAGAACCAAATTTACTGTGATGGATGGTTTTGTGCGGTCGTTGGAGGACCGAGACCATCAACTCCACTACGCTCGAGAACCCAGTTGAATCGCCGGCTCCGGGACCCAGAATCTCTGCAGGTACCATCTCAGCTGTCTGAACTGTGAATCAATTGACAGGCGAAATTCGCCGGGCAGAACGCACGCACGCACGCACGGTGCCCCAGTTAAGATTGCACACGACCGCGTTGTGGCCGGAATTTGCCCCCTCCTGCCCGTCGCTCGCCCCCCCTCCCGCCTCCCCCCCCCCCCCACCACGTTGCGTGAGCCGCTGCGGCCGACGCTGGAGGGAGAAAGTGCCGCTCCCGGGCTTGAGAAGCGTTCACCTTTACAAGAAACGCCATTAGGAGAGAGAGAGAAAGCCTGAGAACAAAGGAACCGGCCGCGGGAGTTGGTGTGTGACCTGGGGGCATTGAATCATTGATTTTTCGGGGGTGATGCCATTCTAAATATAGAGGAGCAGCCATGGCCGTCCTGGTAGAAAAGCTTTTAAACGATGCATTATGTATGAGCCGGTGCGAGCGGCCCAGCAGCGCGGGACTGCGTGCGCGAGGCTCGTGCATTCGTGTGCGTGACTGGTGCATCAGTGTGTGACTGGTGCATTCGTGTGCGTGACTGGTGCATCAGTGTGTGTGACTGGTGCATCAGTGTGTGACTGGTGCATTCGTGTGCGTGACTGGTGCATCAGTGTGTGTGACTGGTGCATCAGTGTGTGACTGGTGCATCGGTGTGTGTGACTGGTGCATCGGTGTGTGTGACTGGTGCATCGGTGTGTGTGACTGGTGCATCAGTGTGTGTGACTGGTGCATCAGTGTGTGTGACTGGTGCATCAGTGTGCGTGACTGGTGCATCAGTGTGTGTGACTGGTACATCGGTGTGTGTGACTGGTGCATCGGTGTGTGTGACTGGTGCATCGGTGTGTGTGACTGGTGCATCAGTGTGTGTGACTGGTGCATAAGTGTGTGTGACTGGTGCATCGGTGTGTGTGACTGGTGCATCGGTGTGTGTGACTGGTGCATCGGTGTGTGTGACTGGTGCATTCGTGTGCGTGACTGGTGCATCGGTGTGTGTGACTGGTGCATCGGTGTGTGTGACTGGTGCATCAGTGTGTGACTGGTGCATCGGTGTGTGTGACTGGTGCATCGGTGTGTGTGACTGGTGCATCAGTGTGCGTGACTGGTGCATCAGTGTGTGTGACTGGTACATCGGTGTGTGTGACTGGTGCATCGGTGTGTGTGACTGGTGCATCGGTGTGTGTGACTGGTGCATCAGTGTGTGTGACTGGTGCATAAGTGTGTGTGACTGGTGCATCGGTGTGTGTGACTGGTGCATCGGTGTGTGTGACTGGTGCATCGGTGTGTGTGACTGGTGCATCGGTGTGTGTGACTGGTGCATCAGTGTGTGTGACTGGTGCATCGGTGTGTGACTGGTGCATCGGTGTATGTGACTGGTGCATCGGTGTGTGTGACTGGTGCATCAGTGTGCGTGACTGGTGCATCGGTGTGTGTGACTGGTGCATCGGTGTGTGTGACTGGTGCATCCAGTGTGTGTGACTGGTGCATCAGTGTGTGTGACTGGTGCATCAGTGTGTGTGACTGGTGCATCGGTGTATGTGACTAGTGCATCAGTGTGTGACTGGTGCATCAGTGTGTGTGACTGGTGCATCGGTGTGTGTGACTGGTGCATCAGTGTGTGACTGGTGCATCGGTGTGTGTGACTGGTGCATCAGTCTGTGACTGGTGCATCAGTGTGTGTTACTGGTGCATCGGTGTGTGTGACTGGTGCATCGGTGTGTGTGACTGGTGCATCAGTGTGTGTGACTGGTGCATCAGTGTGTGACTGGTGCATCAGTGTGTGTGACTGGTGCATCGGTGTGTGTGACTGGTGCATCGGTGTGTGTGACTGGTGCATCAGTGTGTGTGACTGGTGCATCGGTGTGTGTGACTGGTGCATCGGTGTGTGTGACTGGTGCATCGGTGTGCGTGACTGGTGCATCAGTGTGCGTGAATGGTGCATCAGTGTGTGTGACTGGTGCATCAGTGTGTGTGACTGGTGCATCAGTGTGTGTGAGTGACTGGTGCATCAGTGTGTGACTGGTGCATCAGTGTGTGACTGGTGCATCAGTGTGTGTGACTGGTGCATCAGTGTGTGTGACTGGTGCATCAGTGTGTGTGACTGATGCATCAGTGTGTGTGACTGGTGCATCAGTGTGTGTGACTGATGCATCAGTGTGTGTGACTGGTGCATCAGCGTGTGTGACTGGTGCATCAGTGTGTGACTGGTGCATCGGTGTGTGTGACTGGTGCATCGGTGTGTGACTGGTGCATCAGTGTGTGTGACTGGTGCATCAGTGTGTGACTGGTGCAGCGGTGTGTGTGACTGGTGCATCAGTTTGTGTGACTGGTGCATCGGTGTGTGTGACTGGTGCATCAGTGTGTGTGACTGGTGCATCAGTGTGTGTGACTGGTGCATCATTGTGTGACTGGTGCATCAGTGTGTGTGACTGGTGCATCAGTGTGTGACTGGTGCATCAGTGTGTGTGACTGGTGCATCAGTGTGTGTGACTGGTGCATCCGTGTGTGTGACTGGTGCATCAGTGTGCGTGACTGGTGCATCAGTGTGCGCGACTGGTGCATCGGTGTGTGTGACTAGTGCATCGGTGTGTGTGACTGGTGCATCAGTGTGTGACTGGTGCATCAGTGTGTGTGACTGGTGCATCGGTGTGTGACTGGTGCATCAGTGTGTGACTGGTGCATCAGTGTGTGACTGGTGCATCGGTGTGTGACTGGTGCATCGGTGTGTGTGACTGGTGCATCAGTGTGTGACTGGTGCATCAGTGTGTGTGACTGGTGCATCGGTGTGTGTGACTGGTGCATCATTGTGTGTGACTGGTGCATCAGTGTGTGACTGGTGCATCAGTGTGTGTGACTGGTGCATCAGTGTGTGTGACTGGTGCATCAGTGTGTGTGACTGGTGCATCAGTGTGTGTGACTGGTACATCAGTGTGTGTGACTGATGCATCAGTGTGTGGGACTGGTGCATCAGTGTGTGTGACTGGTGCATCAGTGTGTGTGACTGGTGCATCGGCGTGTGTGACTGGTGCATCGGTGTGTGTGACTGGTGCATCGGTGTGTGTGACTGGTGCATCGGTGTGTGTGACTGGTGCATCGGTGTGTGACTGGTGCATCAATGTGTGTGACTGGTGCATCAGTGTGTGTGACTGGTGCATCAATGTGTGTGACTGGTGCATCAGTGTGTGACTGGTGCAGCGGTGTGTGTGACTGGTGCATCGGTGTGTGTGACTGGTGCATCGGTGTGTGTGACTGGTGCATCAGTGTGTGTGACTGGTGCATCAGTGTGTGTGACTGGTGCATCAGTGTGTGACTGGTGCATCAGTGTGTGTGACTGGTGCATCGGTGTGTGACTGGTGCATCGGTGTGTGTGATTGTGTGTGTGACTGGTACATCTGTGTGCGTGATTGTGTGCTTGACTGGTACACCTGTGTGCGTGATTGTGTGCGTGACTGGTACATCTGTGTGCGTGATTGTGTGCGTGACTGGTACACCTGTGTGCGTGATTGTGTGCTTGACTGGTACACCTGTGTGCGTGATTGGTACATCTGTGCGTGCGATTGTGTGCGTGGCTGCAGCACTGTGTGCGTGATTGTGTGCGTGACTGGTACACCTGTGTGCGTGATTGTGTGCGTGACTGGTACACCTGTGTGCGTGATTGTGTGCGTGACTGGTACATCTGTGTGCGTGATTGTGTGCGTGATTGGTACATCTGTGTGCGTGATTGGTACATCTTTGCGTGCGATTGTGTGCGTGACTGGTACACCTGTGTGCGTGATTGTTTGCGTGATTGGTACACCTGTGTGCGTGATTGTGTGCTTGAATGGTACACCTGTGTGCGTGATTGTGTGCGTGATTGGTACATCTGTGTGCGTGATTGTGTGCTTGACTGTTACACCTGTGTGCGTGATTGTGCGCGTGATTGGTACATCTGTGCGTGCGATTGTGTTCATGACTGGTACATCTGTGCGTGCGATTGTGTACGTGACTGGTACATCTGTGTGCGTGATTGTGTGCGTGGCTGCAGCACTGTGTGCATGCGTCGTGCATTTTTATGGCATATTGCAGTTGAAGGAGTCTTCGTACAAATGCGCATTTTAAATGTAACCGCAAAAAAGGACTGCAATTGTAATTTTCTTTTTACTTTTTGGCATTATTTCGGAATCCTTGTTTGACACACTATGCTCCGTAAATGTAAGTCCGCACTCGCAGTTATTCACATAGTTTCTTGTCCTGCGGTTCTTTGTACGGTGCCGCGCATGCGGGTCCTGTCTTGTGTCCGTTGCGTTTGAGTTTGTGTATGTACAAAGTCCCTGTGGTGTTTATTCGTGTTTATTTCTGTTGGCGTGGCCTATTTCTGCAATTCTTAGTCTTGAGAATGTTATCCTTATTCATCGACGAGTTCTGATGCTCCGCAGCAGCAGTAGCACAGACGTAAGACGTGACTGTAAAGCTTTTCCATCAGCCAGGCTGAGCCTGTGTGTGTACCAGTTGTGTGTGGTGGTGGTGGGGGGGGGTTGTGAGTAGATAATGAAATTGCCTAAGATGTACGGTAGATTTCGTGTTGTGTCATGTCTGGCGGTTTGAATTCTGATCATAAAAAAATAATAAAAATAAACCTATTTTAAGTGCCTGCGGGTGAGAGCGTTTGGCAGTTCAATTTTTGTGAAAAATTGCGCTGTGATATTTTCCTGCCAAAACTGGCCGCGCGCTCGCACACTTTGCCGGAAGGTTCCATTTCTGGCCGCGGCGCTCCACCTGTGGGGTCCATGCGCTTCCCCTTCGTCGCTCGCGGCAAAGTGCCCCTCGCCTGTAAATAACGCCGGGGTGATCGTAAAAGTTCCCCCGCATCGCACGGGCCAGCTCGACGGGCCGATACGCGCCTGACGAGACGTCGCGTCGAGTTTTTTCTGTAAAAAATTAAAATAGTCGTTTGGTTTTAGTTGAATAAACGTACCCCGTACTTATTTGTATGTACATTTCACAATTCTTTCGTACGCCGGTCGGCAACGCACTCCCACTCCGATCTGGAGTGTTGTCGGCAACCACCTGTGAGAAGCGCAGGTGCAAGGCCTGTTTCTTCATACGGCAGTCACCAAAACACTCCGGTACGGAGTCGTAGTGTGTTGGCGACCGGCGTGTGAAAACTGGGCCTAGCGTAAGCACAAATCCTGTTACAAGTCTCTGCGAGACACATAGTTGGGAAATCGTTCGTATAGCAGTGGCCGTATCACGAGATTAAGCTCGCCGTTGCGTTACACGGCACGACATTGTCTCGTTTTCAAGGGCCCACCTGGGCTGCGTGGTGGCACCATTGTAATCCGACTTTGTTCTGAGCACGTAAGAGCCCAATGAGATTAAAAAGGCCTACAACAAAATCACCCTGAAATGCAACCAAATCGCCTTGGATCTTGGAAGCTAAGCATCGGTGAGCTTGGTTACTACCAATACGTGTATGGGGGGGGGTGGGGAGGTTTCCTGGGACTACCAGGTGTTTTAATCTTGGGTGACCAGGAGATACCAGTACAGCAAAGGATGTTTGAATCTTTCTATGTTTGGTACTTTCCAGGTATTTTGGTTTCCTTCGATAATGGAATTGTCCAATTATCTCTAATTCGGTACGACCATTGTGAAAAAGTATTGAGGCTTTAACTAGGTAAATATAGGGCATTGTGCTAGGTATTATTTGTTTAAGGGAGAGCGTATCAAGTCAGTGATGACTCTTGGCATTCGATGGGAGGTTCAGTCAGGACCACCCTCGGCTTGGCTCAATCAGAGCCTGGACACGGGGGCCCCAGGTGCCATGGCTCCCAGGGCAAACAGGGAATGCCACCTACCCCGTCACCCAGGTTGCTGCTGCCACCCAGTGGCTCCAAGAGGCAAAAGCTTTCGCGAAAACCTTGGAGCCCCGCGTTTTCCTTCACAGCCATAGACAACAGGGGGACGTGGTGGCATCGCCGTTGTCTCGCTTTGCTATGAACCCGGACCTGGAGACTAGCGTTTGAGTCCAAGCCACGGGCTATCATTATTGGCAAGCGACATCCAGAATGGTCACGGATATCCACTTCACCAATCCACATTGAACAGCACAGTCCAGTGATGTGTGGTCAAACAACCTCCCATGACCGACACTGCGCGGCACAGCATTCATCCAGCAGCAGATTGACAAATGGCTATAAATATCCTGGGCAAGGGGCAGCTACAATATCTCCTGCACCAGTCTTTGGCCTCCCCGAGGTCAACCGTTGTCACTTTAAGATGTTCCTTGTTCATGTTTTTTGTTTGTTGCGGTTGCACCCGAGTCGAGAGCCGCATGGCTCACAGGGCTATACCTTAAAAATGAGTACGTGCTGTGAGTGTCTGGTCATCAGCACTGGGGGAGGCAAAGGCGGCCTGGCGTGGCTCCATCCACACCAGCCCCTTTTAAAACGAGACTGAAACCTCATTTCTTTAGAACCGCTTTTTGTGCTTAGTTGTCCTTCCCTCGCACCTCCGATTAGCGCCTTTGGCTACGCACGGCGCGAAATAATTTCTACGTAGATACTCATACATACGCAACCATGCGCCGGCCTCCATAGGTGCTCGCGAACAGCACTTGCCCCGACATTCCGTTAAGGCTATGCCGGGCCGGGGTGTGGGGGGGGGTGGATCTTCGTGTTTGTGCGCAGCGGAGGCGTGTGCTGGCGCCGAGATGGCTGCTCGCGAGGCTGGTGCCGGCGACCAGCAAATGCAGGCCGAGCTGCTGGTGCTGAAGCAGCGGCAGCAGCTGCAGCAGCAGCTGCTCCTGGCCGAGTTCCACAAGCAGCAGGAGGAGCTGGCGCGGCAGCACCAGGCGCAGATTCAGCAGCACCTGCAGGTGCGACGCGGACGCCCCCGAACGGCGCGAGCATTTTTGTGCACTGTGTGTTTGTGAGCCGTGTGTGTTTGCCCTTGTCTTTGTTACGTATGGTGTATGTGTGCCATGTGCAACCTGTGTGTCGTGTGTGTGCGTGCGTACGTGCCATGTGTATTGTGTGTATATGCCATGTGTTTGTGTGTCTGTGTGTGAGCGGTAGTGTAGCGGTTAGCACGCTGCACTACGAACCCGGCGTAGTACAGCGCGCTGAGCGGTAGTGTAGCGGTTAGCCGTGGTTCGTAGTGCAGCGCGCTAACCGCTACCGGCCGTTGTGTTGGCACCCCAACTCCTAGTGTGCTGTGCCGGCCTTCATAGGCGCTCGCTCACAGCGCATGCTCGCATAGTCTGTTAAGTCTATACAGGGGATCTTTGTCTTTGTGTGTGTATGACATGTGTGGTGTGTAATGTGTGTGTGTGTGTGTGCAAGTGTGCCATGTGTGAGGTGTTTGTGCTGCGTTGGCCGGGCATGACCAGGCATGGTGCTAGCCTCGCCACCTTTTAAAGCACCGAGCTGTGAGCAAGTACGGGTGTCTTTCTAGGTACATGTCTGTACGTATATGTACTGTGTGCTCACATATTCGCGTGTGTGGATATATGAACCTTATGGCGGGAACCCGGGGTCCCGAATAAACGAAAGTCAAAAATCGCAATTAATTAATTAATTTTCTGGCGACCCCGTCCCACCGCGCACACACTCCGCGACCCACCTGGCGCGGATCATTCTGTTGTCGTGTCGTGTCCAAGCGTAGCGGCGAGGACGAATGCGCAGAAGAAGCACAACTTTGAAACTGATTCGCGCATTGTGTAGAGCTCGTCGAGAGGAATAGATTGCCGTGTCGTTCGCCTTCAACAGACATTAAATGATGTCGCAACGCAGTTTATGTGAGAGCCGGGGGCTTATGGGTACCCCCCGGGGTCCTGCCATGAGGTTCACATGCGAGTCGTGACATATATTTTTTCTCAGTGTCATAATGGTTCTCACACTGTGCTAATATTTTGGCAACTCATGGTTCTAATCCAAGCCATGACATGTAACAAGATTCTTCCAACTGAAGAATATATTAGTCAGGTCTGGGATTTCCCCCTAGGTCAGCTTAGCCTAAACAAATGAGTACATCAGCACCTGGTGCGGTCAACATCGGGTGCCCCCCTTAAGCCGGGTCCACATTGCGCAAATTAACCGCCTGCAACTGCTTTTTTTGCCCCCCATGTGAGCGAATGGTTGCGCAACAACGGAAATGAAACATAATGGAACCCGCATATTCGGGATTCTTGCGACCACGATCACGGTTGTGGAAACGTATCACTGCAGCGATGAAACGCCTCGCCGCAATGCCCTGGAGCAGATTGGCGCTCGAAAAGTAGCGTCCGTCTCTACCGCGGAGCGACCGGTCGTGGCAGAGGCGTGCCGCGTAGGTACAAAGCGCTCGCCTCGGGGCGCGCCCGGGCGACCCCGGCCCGACGGGATTGCCTCGCCAGCCTTTAATAGGCGCTCGCCGACAGCACAACGGGGGGCGTTCGTTTCCGTGCGTCCGCCTGCAGCAGCGGCAGGAGCTGCTGGAGCAGCAGCAGCGGCTGGAGCAGCAGCAGCGTGAGCAGGAGCTGGAGCGCCGTCGCTTGGAGCAGAAGCTCACACAGATCAAGAACAAGCAGAAGGGTCAGGAGAGTAAGCGGAGTGCACACACGCGCCAAGCGCTCGGTTACGGCGCACCCCCCACCCCCCACCCCCCACCCCCCACCCCCCCCCCCCCACCCCCCACCCCCCACCCCCTCTCCGCCAGTCGCCAATCGATGCATCCGTGGTGGGGGGGGGGGGGGTCTGGTGTATGTATGTCCATAGTAGATGGTTTTTTGGGTTGGATCGCGTAAATGTATAAATGTGTCGTTAAACCCGCCACCACCCGACAGCCAATTAGTAAGGTTTGTCACGTAAACAGAACATGCCAATTCGTTACTAGTACAGCAATATTTGCAATCTGAGTACGACATTTAGCATTTATATATTTACGCGATCTGACCCCAAAAAAAACGTACATAGCCAACCGCGCTAATCGGAGGTGCATCCCGCTGTGAGGAATGCAAGCTGTTTGAGGAGATGCATGCTCAATTAGTTGTCTGCTGCACTTCTTCCAGACGTGAACGTTAGGCATCATTTTTTTTTATTTTAATAACCCTTGGGAGTTTTAATATGCGAATCGTTTAACAGAACTAATGACCAGACTCAAACTTGCTTGGCTTCTATGTATGTATGTATGTTGAACTTCTTTCGCCCGGTACGTAGCCAACCGTGTTAATCGGAGGTGCGGTGGAAGGACATCAAACTGAACACGTTAATCTTTTAAACTAAACAATTTTTCTTTTATTTGACCAGGTAAGGCTCGCTTAGCTATATATAGCTCTTTTTTTAGAAGCGACCTGGCTATCACAAATGATAGCTCAATGAAGTGGCTTATCATCTTGTGTAAATATAAAGCAGAAGCCAAATACGCTAAAACGCATCTCGATTCTAAATGTGGTGGGGAAAACCAGAGGGCCCGGAGAAAAATCGACGCGGCCACGGGGAGGACATGGGGGTGGTGGAGCATCTCATCCAGCAGTTGATATTAGCACGGTTGGCTACATACACTACATTTAGCGTACTTCCGGATGACGAAAAGCTATACTGAGGGAGAATGACAATGATATTATACGAATGAGTGGATAAACGTGAGACCCTAAGGAATCAATAATCAAGCCATGACTGATTCATGGCGGGTCATCAAATTGCTGGGGGTGGTCAACCATTCGCTGTTATTTTCTCTGAGAAAATAAGAACTTGCGTCGGAAGCATTTCAACTTGACAAACACTCGGGCAGCATTTGGTAATTTTGTTCGTGTTTCCCCGCCCCCCCCCCCCCCCCCCTTTGCGGCAAGGTGCCATGGCGAGTGTGGAGGTGAAGCAGAAGCTGCAGGAGTTTGTCCTCAACAAGAAGAAGCGGGAGGCTGGGAACCTGAACCACTCCGTTCCGCACCACCCGCGCCTCTGGCACATGTACGTGGGGAGCTTCCCCTTGAATCGCACGGCGGAGTCGCTGCCGGGCGGTGCCGTGGCTTTCTCTCCTCTCTCCCCCTCGCGCCCCTCTCTCCTCTCTCCCCCTCGTGCCCCTGCCCAGACCCCCCCCCCTCCTCCACACCCCCACCACCGCACCGCCACATCTACGAGAACGTAAGTGTTGATCTTTGCAAAGCGTCTGAATGAAGATGGGTGTGCACTCGTGCACCGAGGCGCTGCGTTTAAGTAAAGACGGTGACGTAAATGTTGCCGTGCGTCCGCTCTCGTCACCGCATCGCCATCTCACTTTGTCCCTTGACGCTGGATTGTTAAACCTTTGCGGCAACATTCACGGCGGCGTTTGAATGTTGTAAAGGCGGCATTGGAAGGGGGTCGGAAGTGGGGGGGGGGGGGGGGTCCAGGGTAGGGGAAGCACGGGAGAGAGAGGAGAGAGAGCAACACCCCGGCACAGTTCCGCAACAAAACATCTGGGGCTCGGCAGCATCATCGTCAACAACAACGAGCCCCGGGCCCTGCACAAAGCCGAGTGTTCCCGGCCGCATTTTGCGCTCGATTTGCCGTGACGCAAGCGCGCCCGCCTCGCTCTCTCGATCGTCCCTCGTTGGTGGCAATTCTACTTCACGGCCGTCCCCAGGGGCGGGGTGTGGGGCGAGGGTTGTTGGCGAGTCCACCCAGCGACATTATCGAGTGGTGCGCTGCCGCCCAGAACACTGCGTTCCGCCGCTACAGACCCTCGCCCCCCCCTCCCCCTTCCTGCACTTCGCAGTGACGTCGCCGGGGTTATTTTTTGTTACACGAGCATATTTGTCGAGTATCGCTTTACGGCCTTGAAAGTGGCGTGAGCGTGCGCACTTTCCCACGCATTGTTCCTCATTACTGCTGCCGCTGCTGCCCTTGTTGTTGCAGTATGTATGTTGAACTTCTTTCGCACCAAATGTAGCCAACCATGCTAATCGGAGGTGTCCTTCCCTTTGCTGCTGCTGCTGTTCCTGTTGTTTCTGCCATTGCTGCTGCTGTGTCCACGGCTCAGGACGGGCCACCACGGCTCACTGGACCAGAGTCTCCCTCCGCGCACCAGCCCGTCAGCACCGTACCAGCACCCAGGCCTCGGCACGTACGAGTCTCAGAGCGACTTCCCGCTGCGTAAGACCGGTGAGTGCCTCCGTACTCGCCTCAGGGGCATGGTTTTGGTGGTGGTGACATTGGCGTTGCGACCCGGAGAGACGCGTTGTGCGCACGACGCCGCTCCTCATTGTATCAACGGCACAACACCACACCAAGCGCCCCATAATGCAACGCGTCACTAGTGCGGCTCAGAATATGAAGGCAATTCCCATTACTAATCCTTGACCCTGGATTTTTTTGGAAGTGTTCCTCCATTGCCGAGACGGACGGCTTCACCTAAAATCTGAACACGTCTCTTTTTTTCCATGGTCGGTGGTAGCTCAGGAACGGCCGGGGTTCTTGGCTTTGTTCGTTTGTTCGTTCGTTAGCGGCTCCGTGCGTGCAGCAGAGATGACGATCGTGGGTCGTGCATTCCCCCACGCATCAAAGGGCGGCTGGGGATGTCGGCACCGAACGCTTGTGAACAACAGGGACACGCGACGATGGTAGCGTGGGTATATTTAGAGAGATATGCAGATATGCAAGTCAGCTGGCTGTTTTGACAAAGAACAAATGCACGCATGAGCGGGCACATATCACATGTGCTCGCCGCTCAATGGCTCCATAGGCCATGTTTTAATCTTGTCAGATGTTTATTTTTACGTCCAATATTCAGCAAAACGGTTGATGATTGAATTGCCCAGAATGCACCCGATATCATTGATTGAGCCTGAATATTGCTATGGGCTGTAAGAGGGCAGTACAGCGAATCCAAAGTTGTGCCGTCTGTGCTACCCGGCTTCACCATCCACGCTGACACGTGGTAGGTTTTAGTGCGGTCAAAATAATCCCCACCACCCGCACGGCATCCAGCAGTGGATCGACAAAAGGGGCTCGGTGAGTAGGAACACGTTCTGTCTTTTTTCGGAGCGGTGTTGTTCTAAAGGCGTGTGGATGAACCTATAGTGCCCCCTAGTGTATGCGTCATATCTAAACCACTAACTTTATGGAAATGGATAGTTGGTTCTGTTGTGATGCACTAATGCATGGAATGGCTTAATACATGGGAATGGCTTGCGAAATAAAGCAAATACAGTTCTAGCCTTTTGGTTATTTTCAAATTCCACGTGAAAGAATGCATGATGTGAAATGTTTGGTAATTTACAGCCCTTTTTCAATCCGATACTGGATGAGCCTTGCTCGCGCTGTGTTGGGCGTGGAGTTTGTTTGACCATATTTCACCACCCTGACCATTGCGGGTTAAGGAAGGGGTGTGCGTCCAAGACCTCTGTAAGACGCCACTCGCCACTGATGGTAGCCACGGCCAAGAATCGAACTCGGGCCATTAGGTTCAGAGAGCAGTTCGCTCATCACTGTGCCACCAATCCACCCTGAATTACATTTGTAGAATTTGCCGTGCATATTAATGCTCGCTGCCTATAAATAATCAATGGTAAGTTGCGGAAAATGTCAGGTTTTTTTAATTGTGTTATTGAGAGGGAAGCGGGATCATGATATTTTGGCCCACTGTCAATCTCAATGAAGCCTTCGTATCTTCAGTTCGCCTACTAAGTCATTGTGCGAGGTGTCGGAGCAACATGATGTAAAATTCGCCCCCCAATTGAAAATCGGTCAGACGCTCTCTCTGCTCTGCAGACCAAGGGTCGTTCGCCCGAAACATAGGCCAGCTTGTGCACCTTTCGATTGCGAGGCAGCGTTAATGATGGGACGGCGGTGAGATTATTGTGTTTGTTTAAAGCCACCGAAGGAGCCACTTTACACCCCCCCCCCCCACACTTAGCGTAATGCATTTCAGCGAACGTAAAAAGCCAAGCAAACTCTGACTGGGCATTGCACAACAGCTGACTGACGTAGCACAAAGCCCTCTTGTGTCAGGGGGGCTTAAAGGGTCTCGTACGGTGCTGGCAAACCACTTCATTTTAAAACCTTGTATTATTATTGTTATTACTTCTCATTTAAATGATATAGAACTCAAATTAAAAATAACAAGGGCAGGACGGATCAATGTGAAAGCCATCGTGCCTTAATGCCGAGAATCGGCTAATCCTGCACAACCATTGAAAGCCGCTCAGATTGACGGCTGCAATAAAAAAAAAACGTGGCGCTTTTTTAAACGAAACCAGCTGGCAGCTCGTTACGCACGGGCGGAGTAGAGGGCCTGCGGAATCCTCCGTGGGGGCCCCGAGGTAATTGCCCTTTCCCTGAAACGCTCCCCTGTTTTCCGGTCGCGGAATTATTGCGAAATGGAGCGGCGATTTTAAAAAAAAGAAAAAAACGCGGGGAGCGTGCGACCGACGGAACGGATCTTAGTCGAGCATCGCTGGTGTGGGGGGGGGGGGGGAGGATGCGGAGGAACCGCGCCAGGTCGGGTCTTACACACGGGGACGTTCCCTGCGCTGGCCATCGAACAAAGACGGCCAACCGCATCGCGCGGCGCCTTCAGATGCACTTCCGCGGGAGGCTGGAGCACGCTTCCTTCCGATATTAAGAAGATGCTGGGAGCTATGCACTTTTGAATCATCTGTATTGAAAACTCATTTCGTTAGAATTGCTTTTTGTGTATAGTATGTTGTCCTTGCCCTGCATTTACGATTGGCATTGTTGGCTGCGTACGGTGCAAAAGAAGTTCAACATGCATACATGCATGCTGAGTGCGGAAAGAGTGTATTACCTCTTTCCCTCCCGTCCCGCCTGCCTCTCCCTTTCCCTCCCATCCACGGTGGTTCGCTAATATCATCACGATTCAATACGAGAACCGGCTCTGTTTTTTTACATCGCGGTGAATGGTAGTGCCTCCGGTGGCTGCATCGGTGACACGTTAACCCCATGACATTCACATCGCTAACGTAAGCGTCGGTAAGGAACGAATCGAAGTGTGCGTTTGGTTCGTGCCATGCCGTGCAAGCGGCGTGTGGCCGAATCAAGCTCCGGCTCCTTGTGTACGCACCGTTGCGTTCTCGCCCGGTGATCCGGAGCGCCGAGCTCGCATTCCCGCATTCGGGCCCGGTGGCAGGAGCACCGCTCTTTTAATGCCGGCGAGCCACCACGATTAGCGACCGAGCGCCCCCAGCTCCGTGCAGATTTTTGGGATGCGGAGTCCTTCGGTTGATTTTGCGAGAAGAAACGCGTTCCCGTCACGCGTGCGGCAGATGAAAAACCGTGGATGCCGTGAAGCCAAACCCGTTCAAAGTGCGACTTGTCTCGCCGCTGCTCGTTTTGTCATGACCGCGCTTCATAGATATTTTTCTTTATTTTTACTTCAAATCCTTTTTCTCATTTTAACAAAGCCCTCCTGTAAATGCAACCGATCTCCACGTTCGCCTTTGAGGGATTCTCAGGTTGTTTATGTCGGCACCAGAATTGTAAAAGATTTCATGTTTGCGTGTAATGCAGAGAGATTCCACGTAAAATCTCCGCTGAGGGCAGAACGCATTTCGGGGTTTTTCATCTGCAAGTTTTCCTTTCCCCCTCCCCAAAAAAATTGTGTTTATTTTGGATTCAACAAAAGGAGATGGCCATTGCCAAACGTGGCGAGTTTAGTCTAGAGCCGACATTTCTCAGTCTCTCACGAGTTTAATCATCTTCGTGTTTTCTCCCATAAAAAAAAAAACGTTTTCCTTGAAGCCCGCTGTGCCGCGCGCTCTCTCTTTCATCACCTTCATCCCAGGGTCACGTTTGACCTTTTACCCCCTGTGATCTCCCCCCCCCCTCCGACTCCTGCGCAGCATCGGAGCCCAACCTGAAGTTGCGGCACCGTCTGAGTAAGAAGGGGGCCGACCGCTTGCGGGGGAGTCCCCTACTCCGCCGGAAAGACGGGGGGCTCCCCGCTGGGAAGAAGCGACCGCACGAGGCCACCGGTGAGAGCCTCCCTGACCCAGCCCCCCAACCTGGCCATGATAGCTGCCCCCCCCCCCCCCGCCTCCCCCTCGCCCCCTCCCCTGACACTTCCAATTGCGAGAGCCCCTTCTCCCTCGTTATGTCCCGTGCGTTCGCTTGCTTTCGCTTGCTTTCCATCCCACCAACTCCGGTCATCCTCCCAGCAGGGGCTTTTGGCTGGCCATCGAACAAAGATGGTCACGGCATCGCACGCATTCAGATGCGCTTCTGCGGCCGTCTGGAACGCTCTTCTTTCCGATATTAGGAAATCACTGGAGCTACCCACTTTTAATTTTATATTGAAAACGCATTTCTTTAGAACTGCTTGTTGTGTTTAGTTTGTTGTACTCCCTCGCACCTCCGATTAGCACGGTTGGCTACATATTGTGAAAGAAGTTCAACATACATACATACATAAAAGCCTTCCTACTGCCCAGGCTGCTAATTATTTGGCCACCTTCATGATTCGGTGAATTGTTTGATTAGGAGGTTTGAGATTTGACTCGACAATCGGTGCTGCTTGTTTACCGTTGTCGTGATTGTAGAGCGCTGCTCCAGCCCTTGCGACCCCCTCCCTGCCACTGTTGTGCGCCCTTTTTATCAATTAACAATGTCTTCTATTCGCATGCAAATGGTTGGTAATCACGGAGAGTTGGCTTTTTTGCGAGGACTGGATTTGAGAGATGCTGATGTATGACGGCTCTAGTGGCTGGAAGGGTTTATGGGAACCAGTTCACACATAATCGATTCTCACGTGCACCATTCAATGTGGGTATGACAAGCAGCACAATCGGACTTGGATCGATTGAGTCCGTCCGTACATCCGTGCGTCCCTACGCGCCCGAGGTCAGCAGAGGGCAGTGCAACAAAACCCATTGCTGTGTTGCGCCGAGTTACAAAGCGTCTGCCCCTCCCCCGCCTTCACCAACCTGCTCTGACAAGCTTGGTGAAGTATGGTCAAACAACCCCAATGAACCAACCGCACCGCATTGGGAAGGCCGTCATCCAGCAGTGGATTGCCCCGTACAGTTGTTGCATGGTTACAAGCCAGCTGTGTGTGCACGGGCCCTGTCAGCAGAGGGAGCCACGTGCTGTGGCGTGCGATGTTGAATGTGTCTGCCGCACCTCCCACACACCCCCAGCCACCGATGAACACAAAGATAAAGATCCCCCGTATATCCCCAACGGACTTTTGGGGCAAGTGCTGTTGGCGAGCATCTACGAAGGCCAGAACGGCACGCGAGGGGGCGGGTGGGTGGCCAGCAACCACGTCCGGCCGCCTTCGTCTCCCTAGGGGCGATTGTTTAAACATCGCACCAGGTACTCATTTGAGTTCAAGTCGACCTGTGGGAGGCCCAGGACCACTTAGAAATGTCGCCACAACAAACAAAAGGCACGCACGACGACGCACGCTCGAACAGGCGCGCGGCAGGCCAACGGCCATGTTGGTTGTGGCGCCCCCTTTGCCGGACGAGCACCCGGGCTCCGCCGCGGTTGAGACGCCGACTCCCTTTTGCCTCCCCGCGTTGGGCAGAGGCCTCCATGAAGGACGCGGCGGTTAGCTCGGGACCGGACTCGCCGAGCAACGGCGTGGAGAACGGCCTAGGCCCCCACGCGCCCTCCGAGGTGAGGCCGCGCACTGCCATTGTGGACGGCGATGGAGTGTGAGGGATGGAGTGTTGAGGACGGATTGCGTTGCGAGTTGATTGCGTTGCGGATGGAGTGTGTTGGGGACGGATTGCGTTGCGAGTGAATTGCGTTGCGGATGGAGTGTTGAGGATGGATTGCGTTGCGAGTGGATTGCATTGCGGATTGAGTGCGATGATGATGGATTGCGTTGCGAGTGGATTGCATTGTGGACGAACGACATGCCCCTCCTACAGGCGGTTGCTCCTGGTCACCGCCCCCTGAGCCGCGAGGGCTCGGGCCCTGCTCAGGAGAGCCTCTACATGTCTCCGTCTCTGCCCAACATCTCCCTGGGTCTCCCCGCCAACGTGAGACCCCCCCCCCCATCTGCCGCCCTGCACTCTCGCTCCACTCCACGTCGCGTTGCGAGCCGGGGCCCCCTCTGCCTTGCGTCCTGGGCATTTGTGTTTGAATGACCCGGAAATAAATGACGATCCATGGGCTGTCTGCCCATGGATCATGATGATGATGATGACCTGGATGTCTTTGCTGGCGTAGCTGCTCTGTTTTACCGAGGATGGGGCTGGAACTTTTGTGTCCCTGTTGACCTAATTGTGTCCATCTACGTGGCTGTGTGTATACGCGCGCATGTGTGTATATAGTGTATTTTGCGTGCGCGTGCGTGTATGACAGTTTCAGCGTGCCTTGTGTGTGTGCATCCATGGCCATCTGTACCTGTGCACATGCGCATGACTTTTATTACATCAATGCATTTGAGTGTGTGTATATATACACAAGTCGACTCAGCCTCAAACAACCTGGTGCAGTGTGTAAACATCGCCACTTGGGAGACAAAGGCGGTCGGGCGTGGTGCTTGGCCACCCATCCCCTTGTGTACTGTTCTGGCCTTCATAGGTGCTCGCTAACAGCACTTGCCCCTACAGTCTGCGAAGGCTATACAGGGGATCTTTGTCTTTGGAGCGGTAACGTAGCGGTTAGCGTGCCGCGCTACGAACCCGGCCACCCGAGTTTGATTTCCCGCTCATGGCCAACACCAGTGACAATTATCTGAACCTGGTGTGGTGTGAAAACATCGCCACTAGGGAGACAAAGGCTGCCAGGCGTGGTGATGGCCACCCACCCCCTCGTGTGCCTTGCCGGCCTTCATAAGTGCTCGCTAACATCACTTGTCCCACGGAGTCTTTTAAAACTATACGGGAAGGATCTTTGTCTTTGCTGTTCGTGTCCATCCGGTCACCGTCCTGCGCGCGTGCGCCTGCCGTCTCTGCAGGGCTCCGGCGCTCAGGGAGACCCCGAGGGCCAGCAGCATCTGCCCCACCACCCCTCCCAGAGCCACCACGGCCGGGTGCAGCAGCCGCTGGGCCACAGCCTCTCGCTGCCGCTGCCCTACACGGCGTCGGCCGGCGGCGACGCGGACAGGGGCGGCACGGCTGGCGGCGCGGGGCGGCCCTCCCTGCTGCAGCAGCACCTGCTTGTGCTGGACCAGCACCGCATGCTCAACGCAGGCACGGGCCGAGTGTGCGCGTGCGTGCACCCGTGTTTTTAATCGTGTGTGTGTGTGTGTGGGAAGCGGTAACGCAGGGGTTAGCGTGCTGCGCTACGAACCCGGCCACCCGAGTTTGATTTCCCGCTCATGGCCAACGCCAGTGACAATTATCTGAGCCTGGTGTGGTGTGAAAACATCGCCACTAGGGAGACAAAGGCTGCCAGGCGTGTTGATGGCCACCCTCCCCCTCATGTGCCGTGCCAGCCTTCATAGGTGCTACTACTCGCTAACGGCACTCGCCCAAGCAGTCTGTTCAGGCTATGTGGGGGATCTTTGTTTTTGAGCGGTAGTGTCACGATTAGCGCACTTCGTTATGAACCTGGCGACCCGAGTTCGATTCCTGCTCATGGTCAACATCAGTGACAAATATCTGAACTGGTCCAGGGTCGCTCATCCAGGTCCACCGAACCTTAAATAAGTGCAGTGCAACATCAACATTGGGGAGACGATGGGTGTGGTGTTGGCCACCTAGCGCCTCATGGTGCTCGCTGACAGCACTTGCCCCAACTGTCTGTTAAAGGCCATACTGGGGGTTGGGGATGTTTGCCTTTTTTTTTTGCAGGTGTGGGGGGTTTGCCGCTGCCCCCCCGGGGCCCTCTGCTGGGGCCCGAGAGGAACCCCTCGCGGCACCGGCCCCTGAGCCGCACACAGTCGGCGCCACTGCCCATGCAGCCACGCTCGCACGCCCACTTCCTGGACCGGGGCAAGCCGCTGGGCACGGTGAGCACCGCTTTCACATCGGGTCTTGACCCCGGGGTCAGAATTCTAGATATTATTTGAACCCCCCCAGTCGGTCGAGGTCATTCAACTTCTCTCCTGTGGTGATGTTGTGAGTTAGCGTATTAGTCCTGGAGCTCAACACAGACAAGAGGGAATACGGACACGACTTTTGGAAGCATTGCGCTGATGACACTAGCCCAAATTATCATCCTACGGGGGCGTGGGAGTCATATTGCCGTCATTGTATTTATACACTGGGGTTCGAATAATATTTATAGCGTGTTTTAATCTTACAATTATTTGTGGTCAAAATCTCATCTCGTACTGGGACAGACGGTCAGGAAATAGTAACCACCATGGCAGATATTGAGGTACAATGGTCAGTTGGTACAACGGGAACGACTGACCGCTACGACAATTAGGCTCGGTGGTTAAACGTCCACAGGGAAGGGGTGTCAATAATGTATCGTATTCTGACCCCAAGCGTGGGCGGCCACGGGTCAGAATTCTACGGGGGGTGTCAAAATACTATCTCACGCCGAGCCATCTGTGCCGGGCGTTCGTCCTGAGTGGTCGGCCTGGCAATCCGCGACAAGCAGCGGTAACCGGCTGTCTGTGCCGACCGTCTGCCCGCGGCTGTCCGCCGGAGCTGTCCGCGCCACACCCGGGGTAGCGGGGCCTCGGCATCACCCGACCCGGTCGCCCCCCCGTGCAATGCCCGGCGGATTCTGCGGCAGCTGCGGTCCCGGTTGGCGTGGGGCTGGGGGGCCCGGTGATTTGCGCGGCCATCCTTCGAACGGCCGCGGCGGCCTCTTCAGAAGTGGAAATTGGAATTGAATTTGAAAACGAGCGAACAACCTCGGCCACCTGCGCGATCGGTTGAATTGCACCTGATGTTGCGTTCTAAGCGCTCGTGTAATCCAACATCAAGACCACTGCTAAATGCGCTGTGGGGAAATTAGCAATTCCTACCTTGACCCGCAGATTAGGAATGCGGAGCTGCGGCGTGCGCACTGCATGCGCATGTGGATGTTCCGTAATGTGCACGTGCGAACGCGTGCACGCGCTTGGTTGTTACGGCCGGTCCAGGTGCCTTAGCTCACCCGTGCATGTCAGCATGCGTGTGCGATTGCGAGTGTTTGAGTGCGTGTGCGTACACACTTGCACAGACCGATCGGCTGCCTACTCGCACCCATGCCTGTGTATTTAGATGCATGCATGCGTCTTGCGGGTGTCTGTAAGTGTGTGCGCATGTTTACACCACGCGTGCATTTGTAGCGCAGTGGCGGAGTGCAGGTAGTGCATCTGTCGGTCAACTCAGTCAATCAACCCCATAACACCTGGGTCTGTCCTGTGACCTCACAGCGAGCCTTCCACACTTCTATGTGGTCTCAAACATGCACCTGGCCTGGCAGAAGCGCTGTGGTGATGTCACCGGCGAATGGCGGCTGATGTTGATGATGTTGAGCGCGCGTGTATTGTGTGCGTGTGTGCATTCGTACACGTGTTTGCGTGTGTGGGTGTACCCGTGTGTTTGTATGGGTCGCGTGCTCGCGTACTCTGCTCGCGCTCGTGGGTCACGCCGACCGGCCGCCACATTTCCAGATGACGGAGGAGGAGCTGGCGTGTGCGGGCGGTGGCGGCGACTCCGAGAGGGGCGTGCGGATCAAGCAGGAGCTGCCCGACGGAGAAGGGGATGCAGAGGGGGTGGAGGGAGGCGGCGACCCAGCGGTCAGGCACAGCCAGGTACCCCCCCCCCCTCCCCTGCAGTCCTCGTGCGCAGCCACTGGGTGTGTCAGTGGCACGCCCCTCTAATGCAGAAAGCACAGCAATAATAATAATATTACCAACAATGCCCTAGGGTGGCTCTTACAATCAATGCCTTTACAGCTCTTGTAGGCAGGGAATGGTGCGTGAACACACATCGCTGAGTTCATGTGGTCTCCTTTGAAAAGTACTTTAAAAAACTACGATGCTCTTTATCCAGGGAAGCCTCGCGGAGTCTCAAGACCTTGTCAGGAAGGTTGCTGCTACTCTAGTGCCTGTCTTCATGTGAGAGCAAACCGGCGAGAGCCCAGATAAAAACCCCACAACGTACACCCAACGAAGATAGGATGGAGCTGCCACCTTCTGGCCACCTCGCAGCCTAAGCCAACCACAACCGGAGTTCCCGGGCAGTCTCCTGTCCGAGTACACAGCAGGTTATTTTCTTAAGTAGATTTGACAAAGTGGTGCCTGTGGGAGAGAGGAGTACAGCAAGTCGGTTACTCTTGAATCCAGTACCTTTTCGAATACAGTCCTGAGAATGAGGAGTGCACGTGTATAGAATTACCGTGTACTTTAGGCCGTAATACATGGGGTAATGTTCAACACCGTAACAGAGAGTCATTACGAAGCCCATAAAGCTAGGACGGCTGCACCGACAATGCGGGCGGACAGCAAACCATGGTGAGGGCACCGCACAGGCCAGCGCAACCTCATGATGCTGTGCAGCCACCGTGCCCGCGTGCGTGCGTGCGCAGGAGAGACATTCCTTGCGTGGTGCTGTGAGGGGGAAGCGCTGGCCCGAACGGTGACACTCGTTATTATTATTATTATTTATGTGTCACTGCTCGGGACGTCGCGGTGATACAAACCTGCGCTGCTTCACCACTGCCAACACGGCATCTGAACACCCACGGGTCAAAGGTGCAGCCCTGCAAGCGCTCGCTTATGGTACTGCTGGCGGGAGGGACCCTCTTTTTGATGCCCATCTTATTAAGAGAGGGTGTTTTTTTAGCCTTCACTTCAACACTTTTCCAGACGCCTCAGAAGAGGAGACGATATTGTACGGTTGGAGAGTTGCCGTGATCGATGGCCAGGCCATCGATGCCTGGGCTGGCGCACGGCTAAAGCCATCGCCTTTTTGCACGGGGAGCAGTTGAAGCAGCGGCGGCACTTGCTGATGTTTGTGTGGTCTGTTCCGTGTTAGCTCCTAATTAGTGGTTTCAGTCAGCGATCGGCTTATCTCCTTTCCCAGGGGCTAATGCCGAATAAGCCTCCAGAGCCCTTCCTACACTAATAGTGCTTTTCCTAGCATCCCACCTCTCTTATTTTCAATCCAAACATCGTCGCCACTGCTTGTTTTAAGTTCGGCGAAGCAATCTCCCTATCTCTCAAAGAGAAACCCCAACTTAATCCTCTAATCTGAAGTCAAGCGTTTTAAAATGTAGTTCTAATCTAGACGGACCAGAAACGTTTTTGGGCAGGCGGGCGGGCGGGCGCCGTTATCTTTGACGCGAGGTCCTTTTCCCATGTCTGGGCCCGCGCAAGGGCCGGTCACTGACGGGGCCGAAGGATCGGCCCGGCAAACACAACGGCGCCATTAATAACCCTTCACTTTCTCTTATCGAGCGGCGGGGCAGGTTTCAAATTTCCGAATTCTTTTCTCCCCACAAGCAAGCAAAAAAAAACCGACAAAAATTGGAGCGAAAGAGAAATTGCGCACGATGTCGTTTCCGCTTTCCATAAAACCGCGGGGCTAGTTACGGTTTTTCTCCTTTTTTGGCATAAATTGATGACCGTGCGCGGGGAGGGCACAAGAGCGGCACTGTTCTCGGGGCCATACCGGGACCGGCGGGGCTTGCCGGGCGAGGGCCGCCGCCGTCTTGACAAACTAATGGGGGGGGGGGGGGGGGGGGGGGGGGGGGGGGGGGGCCTTACACGAGCCGCTGGCAGGGCCCGCTCAACGGCCCCTCTTCCGCCGCGCAATTATGTCAGCGGGCGGCGGTAATTGGGCGTGCGGTGCCCTGCGAGGGCCCTCGGCCCCACGCGTGAATGCACCAGAATGACCCCGCGTGGCCGATGGCGCGCACGTAGCCGCAAAATCGCTTGGGCCTCCACGCCCACACGTCGCTCCCCTGCCCCCCCCCCCCCGCCACTTCGTCAGAGGGGTATGTCTTTAATTAGGGTCCGATCCCCCGCCCACCCCCCCCCTACTGAGGGGGATGATGCGTCCATCCCTGCCGGCAGGAGCAGCTTAGCCCGAGTAATGGGCTGATCGTGGCAGGGGGTGGTGTGGGACTGAAACGGTGTTTATGCAGCAGCTGGAAATAGCGCCTGCCACTGTCGTCATGTTGAAAACTAATTAAAGGAAAATGTTTTGTTTTGTGAGCGCGTCCCCTTAAGCGCGGCGATCAGATATCGGGAGACGTGGCGTTGCGTTGGTGTGGGGCCGTTGGTGCTTTTTTGCGTCAGCCGGGCTTTACGACCGGTGCCGTTGCTCGTGCGCACCCCGACAGAGAGAGGTCACAGTGGCCTCTGTGAAGCAATTAATTCGTCCCTTTCATGCAGGGGGCGCCTGCTCCTGGCATTCTCCCGCGAGAGCCGCTTGCCACTGCAAAGCAGTGACGTTTTGAGTCGCCTCGTCAAAAGACCCCACAGCAAGCTCCCTGATCAGTCGAACGATGGGGTGATGTTCGTCTCCTTCTAAGCCAGTGGTGGAAATTCCTAGTTGTCGTGGTGGAGAACAGTCTCACCCACAGGGTGACTTCCGTTGACCTCCTTAAAAGTGGTTAGTAGTTGTATCTGCTGCGGAGAGGTTGCGTTGCGTGACGCTCAGTTGACCGCCGACTATCATTTCAAGGGACACTCAGACAAACCGACAAACACAAGGACACATGCCGACTTGTGCGTGCGCACACAAACGCACACGAAGCAAGACCAAGATCCCCCTTATTGTCTTTAACAGACTGTTGGGGCAAATGCGATCGCCATTAAGGCCTGTACAGCACACGAGGGCGTGGTGTGGTCTCCGCACCATGCTCAGCAGTCTCCATAGTGCTGATGTTTACTCTCCGCCCCAGATTCTCAATTCAGGCTGATTTCCACCTCAGGAAGGCCCAGAACCAGGTCAGATAATCGCCACTGATGTTGGCCGTGAGCGGGGACCGAACTCGGGTCACCAGGTTTGTTGCGCGGTGCGCTTAACATTTAACCACCTGATGAGATGAAGAGCATTCGGGATAGATTGCGATGCCACTGGTCAGAGTAGCCAATCGCTGAGCGGTCACGGCGGCGGTGGCGACAGTGGTAGTGGAGCCGATTGCTCCGGTCAGCGTCTCCCGACATCCCTGCCCCAGTGGCGGGGTGACAAGGGGTCACGCCACCACCGCCCACCCCGCTCCTCCTGCCAGTGCCACTCCTGCGGCAGCAGATATCGAGTTCCTTGGATCCAATCGCCGCCGATTGAGCTGATCAAAGCGCCGTTCTGCCGTGCTTGCCCGTAAGTGGAGAAGCGCCACGTTTATTTTTTTTTCTCCCCGGGCAGAGACAGGAACTGTATCGAGCGTGGCGCCTGCAGCGGGCGCGTTGCGAGGCGGCCCAGCGCCCGCACTGTAATTCCCGGGCCACATGCCTGGACCTGTCACGCGAGGTTTTATGCCAGAAATTTGCCTGCTTTATTGGAGCACGTTTTTTTTGCTCTGTTTTTCAAACGAGAAACATGTTCCTTTCATAAATTGTCTTCATTGTCTTATTCAAATTCTCTCCTCGCTGCGGTTCACACCGAGCAAAGCGGCAGAGGTAGCCGCTGTCCGTTTCCTGCACGTTAATTGTTGCGTTCAGCCACGGGAATGTTCCCGCAACCCCGGGGCCGCTGGCTGCCGTAGCCGCGCAGCCTTAATAACAATCTGCCCCTTGCTGGTGCTGAAACGACTCGGCTTTAATGGAGCGCTGCTCCCCCTGCTCTGCCCAGGAGACCACCACCCCCCCCCCCCCCCGCAAGCTCGACCTGGGGGTCTGCCTCTTCTCCGAGCAAGAGCCACCCCCACACGACCCAATGGGCCCTTGCCATTCACACGAGGAACCTGCCTCCTCTCAGATCGTGGACCCCACCGGACGGGTTCAGGGGCCACCCGCAAACCGGGGTCGAGTGCCGCCCTCCCCGGAGGGCACCGGGCGCTACCGCTAACGCCGTTCCGCCACCCCCCCCCCCACCCACCCCCGGTGACCGCTCGTGCTGCCCGTGTGCCCCCCTCTCCCTCCCCCCCCTCTCCCACCGTGTGCCCAGGGTCTCCTGCTGGAGCAGCAGAGAATTCAGCAGCTGCACCTGTACCAGGCGCAGCTGGCGGCGTCGGGGGTAGCGGCAGGGCTGACGGCGCACCGCCCGCTCATCCGCACGCGCTCCTCGCCCGCGTACACCAGCCTGGCGCCGGCGCCCGAGCCCCCACGCCCGCTCCGCTTCACCACAGGTGTGCGGGCACGGTGGCGGCGTCGGTGATGTCGGCGGCGGTGCTGCAGTGCCATCGCACGCACACGTTCATGCCTGACCTCTGCGTGCCTTTGGGATTGATATAAGGGATGCACGTCAGTGAGTGCCTCTTGTAAAGCAACTGTTCCCACACTGTTTCTGTACATTTTCTCTCGACGCACGATATAAAGGCTCGCGTACGTTCCCTACCCGCGAGTAGAGACCCGCGGCTCCCTGCCCCTGTTCAAGCCCAGCTATTGTAACTTGCTTTTGTAAATTAAATTACTGAAAGAACCAATTACTGAAAGAACCAAGAATAAGTCTACATTATAGACTGCCAGTACGCTCACTCAGTTTAATAACCATTGCTACAGTCTACATTATAGACTGGCAGTACACTCACCAAACTTAATAACCAGGCTACAGTGTAAATTATAGACTGCCAGTACACTCACTCCAATTAAGAACCAGGCTACAGTCTACATTAGTGTTTTTTTGTTTTTATTATTTTTATTCACTTTATTTTTTATTATTTTTCTATCTACGTGACTTTACCGAAAGAACCAAAGAATATGAATTTGCTTTTGTACATCGCCCTGAGATAGGCCTCGGCAAGGAAAGGTAATTTACCCTTTTTACCGGGTAAAAGGGTAAAGGTAAATGGTAAAGGTGTCGACATGCCAAGGGGTAAGGTAAAGGGTAGGGTAAAGGTAGCTCGGAAGAATTACCCGGTAGGGTAAAGGTAGCGCGAAGTATTACCCGGTGAATACGGTGCCTTGTTTACCGCTAAAAGCTTTGTGGTGCAGTCCGTGGCTTCCATTTAATAAGTAATATTTTTTTTATTAACACACACTCTTATGAAATGTACTAGTAATGGCAGAACTCCACGACTCCAGGAGGTGGCCCCGAAGCTTGCCATAACGTATGGGACCGTGGCCAATTACAGCCAACGTCAGTTGACAGTGGACAATTAGACCCAAGCCGAAACATAACATGTAAAAAAGAATGTTTAAAAATATATTTGTTATTTTTAATGATAGAATATAGTATTGTCATCAGTATGACATAAGTATACCAAGTTTGCAGTCGATACCACATTGGGAAGTGGGTTAAAATTGAGTTACAAGATTTGAGGATACAACAACAACAAGCGTGTAAAATTGGAATCATTGAGAGTATTCTATGTGAATAAAGCGCTCTACCTAGCATTTACCGTTATAAACCTTTTCATGTGTAGTAGTACCCCAGTAATTACCCTGTAATCGGGTAATTTGTATGGGGTAAGGGTCATAGGTAGGGTAAAGGTAGGCTCGCTGCTTTTAACCTTTTACCTTTTACCTTACCTGCTGAAGGGTAAAAGGTAGGGTAGAGTAAAGGTAGGCTCGTTGTTTTTACCTTTTACCTTACCTTGCTGAGGCCTACCCTGAGATGCGGGCGCGTCTCGACGCTGTGTTGACCCGCGTCGTGCTGTATTGTGCTGCCCGCCCCCCTCGGTCACACATGCAGGCCTGGCGTATGACACGCAGATGCAGAAGCACCAGTGCAGCTGCGGAGATAACACGTTCCACCCGGAGCACGCCGGGCGCATCCAGAGCATCTGGTCGCGCCTGCAGGAGACGGGGCTCGCCACACAGTGCGAGGTGAGCGTCTTTGACGTCGGCCGTGTTCCGTCCACTGCTGGATGGAAGGCCCTCCGCTAAAGCCGCCTCCGCCATATTTCGCGGTCCTGTGATCTCAGTGATCTGTCACCTGCCAACGAGTTTCGTTTGTTGTCCTTCTCCCATACCTCCGATTAGCATGGATGGCTATGGATGGTGCAAAAGAAGTTCAGCAGATATGTACATTGCTCCGTCCCCACGGTGTACGTATTCTCAGACGTGTTCGCTCCTCTGGCCTGCCACTCATGAGACTTGTCCACTGGGGATTGATGCTTCAAGCGATACATTCTGCCCAAGCCCGTTGACTTGTCTTTATAGCCATTATGATGTTGCAGACTAGCGTATGTGAGTGTTATTTGGGAGCGTTAGTGCAGTGGTTTAGCGCATTGCCCAACAAACCCGGCGACCCGAGTTTAATTCTCACTCGTATATTTGTACTAGTCCCGGGCCTCCCCTAGGTCAACTGCTCCTTCAATGAGCACATGGTGCGTTGTATTGACATCAACAGTCGGGGAGACAGATACGTCTCGGGGTGGTGCTGGCCTCGCCCAAACGCTTTGCGTGCCACGCAAACCTTGACATCCCTTAGCCCTGCAGCCTGTTAACACTGTTAACGCTGTGCCGGCATACCCACGCACCCGTGTGTGTGCGCGCTTGTGCGAGTGTGTGCGCATGTCCTGCGCACGTGTGTTCCCACGCTCGAGGTAAACGCGTTCCCACAAACCACTCGCACCACTCGCTCCTTGCGGCGCCTTTCATTTGTGGAAGCGCAAGGTTGTTTGGGGCAAAGGTGAACACGGCGTCGCGTTTCTGGGTTTTCGCCCACGACCGTCGGCCTAATTTGTCAAAATTTCGTTCAGTGGCGGCACCTTGCGTAAGAGTGTGCAATGCACGTGTGTGCTTGTGCACTCATTCATACACGTGTGTGTGTGTGTGTGTGCGTGTTTGTGACATCTAAACTGTGGGGAGCGGCAGTGGAGTGGTTAGCGCGCTGCGCTACAAACCCGGCGACCCGAGTTCGATTCCCGCTCACGGCCAACACCAGTGATGATTATCTGAATGGGTCATGGGCTCCTCAAGGTGGACTCAGCCTCAAATGAGTACCTGGTGTGGTGTGTAAACATCACCACTAGGGAGAAAAAGGCGGCCGGGCGTGTGGTGTTGGCCACCCACCTCCTCGTGTGCCGTGCCGGCCTTCAAAGGTGCTGCTCGCTAACGACACTTGCCCCTACAGTCTGTTAATGCTACACGGGGGGGGGGGGGGATCTTTGTCTGTTGCCTTTGCCGTAGCGCGTACGGCCACGGAAAGCCACGCTGGAGGAGATCCAGTCGGTGCACTCCGAGCGCTACACTCTGCTCTACGGCGCCAGCTCGCTCAGCCAGCACCGGCTCGACAAGAAGCTGCTCGGTACTGCCACGCCTGGGCCGATCCCCCGCCCATCCCAACTGTGCCGTGCTCCCTGTGTACCTCTACCGCTCCCCCCTCCTCCTCCTCCCTGCGCGCGGCTCACCCCAGCGCCGCCCCCCTCCCCCCGCTGTGCATCTTGAGCCCCCCCCCACTACCCACCCCCACCTCTCCCGCAGTAGCCAATTTTGCGGCTCTCTCCTGCCTTCGCTTCCTTAGCTGCCGCCCCTCCCCCACCGCTGCTGCTCTCTCGGACTCCTTCCGTTCTGCTGTCGCTGCCCGCTCGTGACCAACGCCGCTGCCGCCAGGCACGCGCGGCCCGGCTGAATTTGGCTTGTTTGTCACCTGTGGTAAAAACAAATAAAGAAAAAAAAAACCAAGTCAATCCCCGAATCTCGGATTTTAAAGAAGCCCAACGCGAGCCAGCACCTGAGTGGGTTATATTGCGGATGCGTAATTGAGTGTCAAAACTTGCGTTGCAGCTGCCGTCACGAAAAGCCTGTTTTTCATATCTTAAAAAATTATTGAGGAGCTCTCTATAAGGAGTTCCTACCTCGAGGGCCTCCACCCTCCGCAGGCCCACAGGCCGCGCGTCTCCCGTTCTACATGACCGGTCGGTCACATCGCCGGCGCTCCCCCGTCGTTCCCGTCCTGCACCGCCCCGCTCCCTCCCCCGCCCGCGTGGCCGCGTCCCCCCCGCGTTAACGCAACACTGCAATGCCCAAACCACCATTGTGGTGTTCAGCTTGGCCTCCCTCCTTCAAGCCAGCTCAATGTCTGTCGCGCCCCTCCCTCCCTGCTGTTCGCTTGGGGACGGCCGCTGCCACTCGTGGTCGCACGAGTCGCTCATTGTTTGGGGGGAGAGAGCTCCTCGGCAAGAATCCTTTCCCCCCCCCCGCTCTCCGTTCCCCCTCTCTCCGCCCGCTTGGTCCCAGCTTGGGTTTTACTATCGGCGGTGTTTTTGTTTCGGTCTGCAAACTTAAAAAAACACAAATAAACGAAACGCAATACTAAAATAAACGACACGGCCGCTTCCCATCAAAATGGCCTCCTCTGTTCTCTCGGCGATGCGGCTTTTGTGGTTCCCGTTTCTCTTTTGGCAGCTCCCTTTAGAGAAACGTTCTTGGTGAACGCCGGTTTAGCGGCAGGCCGAGGCGTGCGCCGCCAACAGCGCCGCACCGCGCCTACGGCGGCGCCGACCCGCGCGATAAACCAAATGACGGTTTCGTTGAAACGGCGCGTCCGTCCGTCTCTGTACCTCCCCTCTCCCCACCCCTCTCGCCTCTCCCCACCCCAGGGCCGTCATCTCAGAAGACCTTGGTGATGCTGCCATGCGGAGGCCTCGGGGTGAGTTTGTAATTCCTGCCAAAGAGCCTGAGCGAGAGCCCGCGCTGCTAGGCTCAAGGGTCCTTCAGGGGAACCTAACCACGTGATTGGCAAAGCAATTGGACCTGCCACTCACCCGGCCATGCCTCGTCCTGATGGGTTAAATGCATGCTCCCGGGTTTCTCCGAGAGAGATCAAACAAGGTATTTCGTGCTCCCTAGCTTATTGCAAAAACGGCGATGGAGCGAAGTGTGGGAACGACTCGGCTCGCAGCCCCGGTTTGGGAGCTCTTCCCAGTTGGATTCAAATTCTTCTGAATCCTGCAGACAATCCCGAATTCCACTCTTCATCACCCAGGCTGCTCCGTCTTTCCGGTTAGCGTTCACGTCACGCCGGCCCTATGATTGGCGTATATAATGGTACCAGCCTCTTTGACCTCGACACGGCTAATGATGAATATACAAAGTGGGTGCGACACGTTGGGAGAGGATTTGGCTTCGCCTTGTGTGCGTGCATGCGTGCATGGGTGCGTGCGTGCATGCATGTACGTATGGGTGCGCGCGTGGGTGTGCGTGCGTGGGTGTGTGCCTGCGGGTGTGCGCTCGCATACTACATTTCTAAAACATTTGCGTAACGTGCGCTGCAGGGTTTGGAATGAGGGGGGGGGGGGGGGGCGCCCTGCGACTCGGCGTGTGCTCTCCGACCGTGGATTTGTCTCATTACGCGTGGAAACCCAAGTAGCCGCTCTATTCGGGGACTTGAAATCCACTTAGGTTAGACATTGCTAAATGAGTGCACCTTGGCCGAGCCCCAGAGGAAGCTGTAAGTGCGTGCGGAATGAACTCACCGTTGGGGGCTTGCGAGCTGGCGAGTTCACCCGTACTGTGCGTGCCACACCTGCGCGAACCCTCGCTCACCCCCCGCTCACCGCCCGCTCACCCCCCTCTCACCCCCATCCACTCTCGCCGCTCGCCGCAGCGGGAGAGGAGTGCGTGTGCGTGCCTCCCGCGAGACCACGAGCTTCCAAATGCAGGAACCAGAGCCCCTCGCGCCGCACTTGGCCTTGTTTTTGTTTTCGTTTGAGCGGGGATCTTAAACACGATCGGGCGAGCAAGCCAGGCGTGTGGGCGGGGACGGCCGAGGAGACGTTTTAATCTGGAAACTTACGCTATAAATACACTCGTTCGTAATCGTTATGCACGAGGCTGCCTCAAACCGTTGAGCGCGAATTGAATGCCCCCCCCGTGCAGGCGAAAATGGAATGTGGATGTAGCCAAGCTAAAAGCTGCGAGGACCAAAATCCAATTGAATAAAATAATAACGTTTTTATCTCATTCCCCTGATGGGTCGGCTTCAAATGGCCGGAGCCAATGTAAACACGCGGAGGCTCGGCAGACTATTTGTTAATTTACTCAGTAATAGGAGGAATCGTGCAAACCGCCCGCTGCCGCTGCACTCCATCTGGCACATGCGTCTTTACTAAACCAAGCTATTTTTATTTTACCAGGTAAGGCCCACCGAGCAATGTAGTTCTTTTTCAGAAGCGACCTGGCCCACATGAAAGCTCAACGAAGCAGCCAAATACCATAAATGCGTCGTTAGTTCGTTACTCAATCCGCTTGTCCTGGTGAGGATCCTGGCGGCAGCGTGTTGAGTAGGGTTGTCCAGACCTCCCTTTCCCTGGTGTCCTGGGCCAGCCCTGGGGCCTTCGTCCAATGGGACATGCCCGACAGATTTCCAGGGGGAGTCTAGCGGGAGGCATCCTTACCAGGTGCCCAAACCACCTCAACTGGCTCCTCTCATTCCAGAAGAGCAGCGGCTCGAATCTGAGGCTCTTCCCGGATTGCCAAGCTGCTCACCCGATCACGGAGAGTAAGCCCGATCTCATCCTTTGTCGTTGCCCAAAGCTCATGACCATAGGTGAGAGTGGGAATGTAGATCGACCTGTAAACCAAAAGCTTTGTTCGAGAACTCTGCTTCCACTTCACTACCACAGAACGGTACAGCGCCCACATCACTGCGGATGCCGCACCGATCCGCCAGCCGATCTCGCCGCTCCCACTTACCATCACTCGCAAAAGAGACCCCGAGGTACTTAAATTCCTCCACTAAGGGCAGCTGTTCCCCCCTCACATGGAGACCACACTCCACCATCCCCCGGGAGTGAAGCATGCATGTTGATTCTAAATATCGAGGGGAAAACCGGAGAAAAATCCACGTGATCACCTGGAGAGAAACGTGCAAACTCTAAATGTACAGGCGTTCCGGTTGGGATTGAACCCACGACCTCCTGTATACCAGGCGAGATAGTTAACATCTCGCTACCATGGCACCCCGCGGTTCTTGAGCGAACCTGCATCTCTCTGTAACTCGCAAGGCGCTCAGTAGCTCGCGAGGCGCTCGGTAGCTCGCGAGGCGCTCGGTAACTCGCGAGGCGCTCAGTAGCTCGCGAGGCGCTCAGTAACTCGCAAGGCGCTCAGTAGCTCGCGAGGCGCTCAGTAACTCGCGAGGCGCTCAGTAGCTCGCGAGGCGCTCGGTAGCTCGCGAGGCGCTCGGTAGCTCGCGAGGCGCTCAGTAGCTCGCGAGGCGCTCAGTAACTCGCGAGGCGCTCAGTAGCTCGCGAGGCGCTCGGTAGCTCGCGAGGCGCTCGGTAGCTCGCGAGGCGCTCAGTAGCTCGCGAGGCGCTCAGTAGCTCGCGAGGCGCTCAGTAACTCGCGAGGCGCTCAGTAGCTCGCGTACTCATTTCTGTCGTTGGAAGCAGGCAGGGAGACGTTGGGGCCGAGGCCCAGGCCTGCATGACTTTGCCGGGAGCCAAGGCAAACACCAGCATTTTGTGTTCCCTTTGAGTTGAGCGAAACAAAAGAATCAAAACAAAGCTACGTTTTTCATGAGACTCTTCAGGACACGATGTGTTATTTTCCTCCCATTCTTGTCTCCCATCCGTGGCTTTTGCCGAAACCCTCCCCCCCCCCCCCCCCCGCCTTCCATCTGATCCCCTGCACGTGCTAAATCATTCTTAGTTTTACAGACATGAAAGGGCCCCTTCTCAAAACGACACTTCAAAGTGCACAAACAACATCAATTTTAACGTTTTTTTGTTTTTATTTTTCTTCCAAAGAATCAGTGACAAGCGGTGGCTCTCGGCCAAACCGTAAGCAGTCCCCCCCCCCCCCCCCCTCCCTCCCCATTTCGCGCGTCAGCGTTATTCAAACCCCCCGTTTGCGTCGAGCGAGGACGCGCTATTGGCTCGTCCGCCCCTCGTTCCGATATCGTTTTTTTTCTTTTTTCCCCGTTGTTGTCGGTCGTGCGCCACCCGCCCCGCCCCGCCCCGCCGACGCGGCTCGCAAACAGGGCGCCGGCTTGCGCGCCGTTCCGCCTGGCGCGCGTAATTGATTGGTGGCGCCACGCTCGCTGTTGCCGGCCCGTGCGCCCGGGCGGCGCTCACGGTCCCGCGCGCGTGCGCTCGCGACACCGAATGCAATTATCGCCGCGGGAACGCAAACGGATGGGAAACACATGGGGCCACGGCCACTGCCTTTGCGGCGCAGGCATTCCTTGCCGAGTCCCATTGGTCGATCGACTTCCTTTGTTTGTCGAGTCCTATTGTTGAGCTCGGAGGCTCCGCCCCCATCGCTTGCTCTCGTGGCCCAGGATTAATATCCTGGCGAGTCGAGTCGCTGGGTTTAGGCGTGGCCACCTGTTGTAAGTGAAAGGTAGCATTTATATGCACCTATGGCACGTTGGATATTTTTGCTTATTTTCTTGTCGGTGCGCCGTTGGCAAAGTCAACAGTCCCGGGGACCCAAGTGGTGAGCAATCCCCCGTAGGAGAAGGTTTCATCCCGGCGCGATCTCAACCGTTCGATAAAACTCGCGCATTGCACTGCATTTTGTTTGTTCGAGCTTCTGTTGAGCTGGAGGCGGCGCCGTGTGACACACGTTGGCGAGAGATGCCAACATTCGTGTCACACGAGACAGCGCCGTCGCTCACCCGCACCACACTTGACGTCCGCCGACAGCTGCCCCAGTCGCCGCCGCCGCCGCCGCCCGGCGGTGTTTGTGTTGGTTTAGGGCGAGGAACCTTTTTGTTTCTCGTAAACTGCGCGTAAAACGGTGCCGCTCTGCCGCCCCGCTCGAAGCGGGGGAGTGCGGCGTGGGGGAGGGGACCGCAGTTTAGTGTCGAACGCCTCCGCTCCGCCATAAATCACCAAACCTGGCTCTTGCCGCCGCCGTCGCCGCCGCCGCGCCGTTCCGCGGCGCATCGGCGATTTGTCCACGTGATGCTCGTTGGGGCACCTCCGGCCTCGATCGTCCCGCTCTGACGCAGCCGCGCCAACGGCGGACGCGCAAACAAAACACGAGAATCGCACCACAGCCTGGGCCCGTGAACTTTGTAGAGCCGGCTAGGGAATGATTTTGGGGGTTGTAGGGGGGGGTGGGGTGTGGGTTATGGGGTCTGCATGCGTGCCCCCCCCCCCCCCGCCCTCCGCCCTCCCCCTGCTCGTGCCCCCTCCTGTCTCCCTGCAGGGGGTGGGAGCCGGGCCCCCACAGGAGGTCAGATTGACGCCATCTGCCACAGGAGGCCTGGACTGTGGGGGGCAGGGGGCGGGGGGAATGAGGAAGAGGAGGAGTTCATGGGGATCTCCTACGTGGTGGGGGTGGAGGACTCATTCTGTTCACATGAGCTTGGCGCTTGGCCTTTGATGATGGCCCTGGGTTTGTTTTTGTTTGTTTTTTTGGCTTCTGTCCGCACAAAGAGAAACGCGTTTTTCTATTCTTGAGCGTTTTTGCTCTCTCTTCGACGACGCACGTTTCGAGGAAGAATTCTTTCTGGAATGAAATCATCGTGTGTACGCGCGCATGCTTGCGCGAATTCCCATCCCGCGGTTGTTTCAGCATGCGTGAAGTAAATAAATTACAGCTGTGGAAAAATGCATCCTCGGTTTTACAATTTCCACCAGCTGAGTAGCAACGCTAATGCAAAACTAATTTGAGCAAATTTCCTGGGTTTTGCTCACGAGGCTACACAATCCGTAACCTCATTAGGCTGTTGTGAGGTTCTCTTAAGCTGTGCGTGTGTTTGGCCAGTGTGTTTCCACAGCCTGTAAGCTAATCGTGACATCTTTGTGTGTGTCTGTGTAAATTACACGGTGAGCGGTAGCAGAGTGGTTATCACTCCTCGCTACGAACCGAGTTCGATACCCGCTCGTGACCAATAACAGTGGTGAATATGTCAACCGGTCGTGGGTCTCCCCTCAAATGAGTACCTGGTTGCTGTGTGTAAACATCAACACTGCGGAGACAAAGGCAGCCAGGTGTGGTGCAGGCCACCCACCTCCCTCGTGTGCCGTGTTAGCCTTCACAGGTGCTCGCTAACAGCGCTTGCCCCGACAGTCTGTTAAAGGCTCCGCGAGAGATCTTTGTCTTTGTGCGTGTTATTTGGCCTTGGCGTGATGCTGGATACACCAACACTTAATTTGCCGTGCCAGTCTGAATGGCTGCTCACTAACAGCGATTTCCATAACTATCTGTCGAGCATCAGCACCAGGTGTGCTGTCAAACCACCACCTGCCTCTGTTCCAGGCTCAAGACCTTCCTCCCTTCCTGTGCCCATGACCGATTGCTGCTCTGAAAAATAAAAATGCCTGTACAGTGTCTTCAGATGCAGTCGCATTTGAATGCTAAAGAGATGGAAATAGAATATCCAGTCGTGGTTCTTGCTTAATGCAAGCTTTTGGGCCTGGATTAAGCTTACCGCCGATAACCGGTGACCGCCGCTAACCGCCCGCTAACTCCAGCGCTTTTGTCGTCGTTGGCCAGGTGGACAGCGACACGATCTGGAACGAGGCCCACTCGGCCGTGGCCGCGCGGCTCGCCGTGGGCTCTGTCCTCGAGGTTGCGTTCAAGGTGGCCACCGGGGAGCTCAAGGTGAGGCCGGCGACGGCGGCGCCTCGCGCCCACCGGGAGGCAGCGCAGGGCAGTGGCGGCGAGGCCTGGCAGCCACCGCGAAGACCGGGCCGTGACGGCCATAGACGGGTGGAGTGAGCTAACGCGGCTCGGCCAACCCAACACCTGGCCCCGCACCCCACCCCCCTCGTGCATTGTTCTGGCCTTAATAGGTGCTCGCTAACAGCACTTGCCCCAACTGTCACTAATGATAAATGGAGGATTATTGTCCACCTGTGGATACGCGCATGTGTAGTCACGCGCGAGTGTGCCCGCGTGTGCGTCTTGTTGCCAGAACGGCTTTGCTGTGGTGCGGCCTCCAGGACACCACGCGGAGGAGTCTCTCGCCATGTGAGTGCTGCTCGGTGGCGTTCATCTATTACCGCGCGGGCATGTGAGCGGGTGACAGTCTCCACTCGTAACCAAGCGAGAGCTCAATTGAGACTCGAGAGTTCTCTTTGCAAAGGGAGACCTCCTGCTATAGCTGCAGAGCGCCACGGCACGATTATGGGTCGAGTGCTTGTTTGTGATGCCGCCCGGCTGAGTGGGCGATGGTAAATGTGCAACTACATATTGTCGAGTCTTGCGTTCACGCTACGTCAGACCGTGCATGTGCGCATTGAGGATTTATTCAAATGACGTGCAAATTATCATCATTTGCGTGCACGAACTAGATGGATTGTTGCATCACAAGACTTGACTGCAAGAGATTGCAATGGCATGAGGAGACCTTCATCCGTCAGTGGATGTCAACGTTATCCAGGACAAGATTGAAACAAGCCTATTGTTAGCATTACTCCAATTGTTGTTCTGCCGCTGCTTCTGCTGCCGCAGCTGTTGATCACATGGCATCGTGTCCCCCCGCACTCTCCCCCACCCTCCTCTGGCCTTGATCGATTGTCTGCAGGGGCTTCTGCATCTTCAACTCCGTGGCGGTCACTGCACGGATGCTTCAGCAGCGCCTGCACCTGAGCCGCATTCTCATCGTGGACTGGGTGAGCATTGCCCATCACCCCCCCATAGTCACTCCCGTCGCTCATTCCGTATGCTCCCCTGTCCCCTACCGCTCTCGCCCTGACGTACGGTGCTCATCTCCCGTTGCCGCCCCGTTACCTCGCAATGGCCGTTGAGTTGTTGGGACCCAGGGGAGAAGGCAGGGAGAACATGGAATGTCATCCGCTGCTAGTGAAAGTGTCATTCCCAGGGCCCACGAAGCTATAAATGACCATGATTCAAAAGGCACGAACATTGTCCACATTGGCACACTGAGGAGACATCGCATGCGTGAAACGTTAGACGCTGGTGTAAAGTGCTTGTAATGGCAGGCACCAGTGTTAAAGTGTTTAAATTAAAGTGCCTTAAATAGAAATATAAACATCAGTGGAAAAGTGTCTTAAGCTATAAATATGAATAATAGTGCCTTAGAACGCAGACATCAATAGGAAAATACCTTAAATGAAATACTGAAATAGTCGAGGGCCTTAAAAGGCAAGCACCAGTGGCAAAGTGCCTTAAACATAAATAGCGAAGTGCCTTAAACAGCAGCCACCAATGGTGAAGTGCCTCATAAGACAGACGCACACTGCAGTTCCTCCTCACAAGGGCAGGCGCTGAGGCCTAGGCGGAGTTGAGGCAAGAGATTGGCGCGGCGGTTTGACGGAAGGGACGGCATTTGATCTGTTTGCAAAGCCTAAGCCCCGGCAGGAGGCCGGAGATTTCAGAACCGCCGACCCCTCACCCCCCGCGGGGGCCCCGGCCGTGCACAAACAGCCCCGGGGCCCCCGTGGCGCTTGCTGGGAAAATGGCCGGGCCTTCACTAGGCCCCGGCCGTGCCCTGCCATCGTCATTAACTTAAATAAACACCTAGGCTTCCCCGCTTCGTGTGAAGGAGCGTTTTTGTCTCTGGGGCTGATGAGAGCCCCCTTAGTCGCTCGTGCGGCTTTGAGGGTCCTTTCACCCCCCCTGCAGCCTCTGCCGGAAGCGAGATGTTTTCCTGTGATGCCAACTCGGCGATTTATCGGCAAATCCAGTGGCTTTTTGGTTTGCCCTGGGTGAAGGCATTTTGTCAAAACGACAAGTGACGTGTCGAGTGGTTATCCTAGACAACGGGGCATTATTAGGTTCTAGTAGAAATTCCAGGTGTGAATTAAGGATTCTATATCCCTAATAATAATTTTAAAAATCATGCATTAGGCTCCTGTATCGCTTTACTCTGCATAACACTTGGTAAATTACCGACTGATATCTTTAGTATGTATCTTGAGCTTCTTTCGCACCATACGTAGCCGTCCTTGCTAATCGGAGGTGCGGCGGTAGGACTAACAAACTAATCGCAACAACAAGGAGTTGTAAAGAAATTAGTTTTCAATTTAGATTTTAAAGTGCATAGCTCCAGAGGCTTTAAGACGGTCTATCCGGTGACATTTTGAGGTTCGTTTGGTAACTTTCTACTTTAAAGAGTTGGCGACGCTGGGTGGGATGGGGTGTGAGGCTCAGCCTGGAGATTCAAGTCGCTGGGCACGGTGTGGTCCGGGTAGCGATGGATCGTCCTCGTGCGGCTGATGGGGGTGGTGGTGGACACCTTTTTGGTGGACTCGCCCACACCCACCGATCCACCACAGATGGCACTGAACACCGCGCCCTCGTGGCGCAAATGAGCAAGTGCAGTGAATCACCGTTCCCCCGTTAAGCCCCTATCACGTTCTCTCTGCGCTAATTCTGTGGTGTGGCTTGCATTGCATGTCTGAAAGCGGTTTCATCCTGTCCAGCAAATGAATTACTGGTATTGCCTGTCCTCCTTTTTAAGTGTTGGTATTCCATGAATATTGTTTACTCTGGGCCAAAGCCTAAATGTGTTTGTGCATTTTCTTGTGTGTGTCTCTGTTCCCCCATGTACATGTGTATACACACACACATTTGCGTGTGTTTGTGTGCTGAGCAGTGGTGCAGTAGTTTGCACACTGCACTATGAACGCGGTCATTTGAGTTCATTTCATGGTTAACTTCAAAGACATTTGGTATCTGAGCCAGTCCTGGGCCTCCCTTAGGTAGAGCAAGCGATAAATGAGTAGCGGGTGCGGTGTGTATACATCAGCACTGGGGAGACAAAGGCGGCCAAGTATGTTGTTCATCGTGTGTTCATCACTTATGTGTGCTTGTGTGTCTTTTTGCTTATGTCTATTTTCTTGCATTTGTTTGTGTCTGTTATTGTGTTTAGGCATATGTTTGTGTTTTAGTGTCCATGCGGATGTTTGTGTCGCGTGTGCGTGCCGTCCGTGTATCCGAGCAGATCGACGCATGTTCGTGTATTCGTGTGTATGTACGTTCACGTGCCGCGTCTGTTCGAGCGCGTGCGTCTGTGCTTTTATTTGCGCGTTGCGTGCGTGTTAGTGTGTTACTGTGCACGTCACGGTTTAATTCCCACGTGTTCACGCGTGTGCGTGCGTGCGTGTGCGCGTGCTTCAGGACGTGCACCACGGCAACGGCACCCAACAGGCGTTCTACAGCGACCCCGGCATCCTCTACGTCTCGCTGCACCGCTACGACAACGGGAACTTCTTCCCAGGCAGCGGGGCTCCCGAGGAGGTGAGGCCGCTTGCCCGCGTGCGGGACCGCGTGCGTGCGGGACCGCGTGCGTGCGGGATTGCCTGCGTGCGGGATCGCGCGGGTGCCCCTCAACTCGCCAAGGCCTTGCTCGTCTTCGCAGAAGTCAGAGGTGCGCCGTGGTGGCGAGATGTCAACTACCTCGCCCGTTATACAGGAGGTCGTGGGTTCCATCCTGACCCTGACTCCTGCTGTATATTTGGGGTTTGCGTGTCTCTCTCCCCGTGGTCGCGCAGATTTTGTATCCGGGTCCTCCAGTTTTTCCCTCAACATTTAGAAACGTGCGTTTAGAGTATTGTCTGCTGTACATTTTCCACATGATAAGCCATTTCTGGCCAGGTCGTTTCTGAAAAAGAGCTACCATAGCTCAGTTGGCCTTACCTGGTAGAATAAAATTAGTTTAGTAAAAAAAAATGTTTTCACTAGCTCTTTGTTGCGTCTCATCTCCCTGCACTGCTGCCTGGGAGCGCCGTCCCTCCCCACCCCCCGTTGCACCGCGCGGACGTCTCGGTTGGTGACAGCAGAGGCTCACGGGAAGCCAGAACTGTGTTCCTGTCATTGCTTAGCTTTTTATGGCCGCTGTTCCCTGGCAGCCTATGATTACAGCTTTTCTGTGCACTCGTTATGCGCCGTGTTCAGAATCCCGTGTTCAGTTTGTGTTCTTTGAGATGTGAGATGTCTCCTCATGTACACAGTTATTCTGCAGTTGGAGTTTAATTTGTCTTTGTTACTACTTATACAACAACAACAACCGCCATTCGCCACTATGTGGTGGTGATGTCACCATGGCGCTTGTGCCAGGCTATGTGCACTTTACGGCCACATGAGGTGTCAAACACCCGTTGGCAGGTAATGGGACAGACCCAGGTGCCATGGGTTGACTGACTGATATGACTACTTGTATACGTACACTCACAAGCAAATCAGAAAATGTTATTTTGGTTACTATGATAATCATGATGACAATGGTGTCTACAATGATTATGATGATGCTCATGATGATGACAACGACGATAATGACCCTGATGATAATGACGATGACGATATGATGGTGGTGGTTATAACATTGATCACGATGGGTGCCTGTTCCGGCGACAGGTGGGCACAGGGCCTGGCGTGGGCTTCACGGTGAACGTGGCGTGGACGGGAGGGGTGGACCCACCCATGGGCGACGCCGAGTACCTGGCCGCGTTCAGGTAACGGCGCCCGCCATCAGCCGGCAGCCCTGGCTGTCGTCGCGCACGCCGCCACCGTGCCGCCATCGCTCGCCGGCACGTGTCATGGTGACCGGCCGCTGGCTCTGTCGACAAGGACCCCCCCCCCCCCGCCAAAATGTCAGCCAGCCCGCATGCCTTGCCTGCGCGGAGGCCCCCGGCTCACCGGCCGCGAGATGAAAGCGATGGCTAGTGGTGGGGGTGGGGGGCGGTAGCAGTGGGGGGCGGGGGGGGGGGGGGTTAAGTTCGCCGATTTGGGGCGGGCTGGTGGGGCTGCCTGCTCTTCCCTGGTTGGCTGGGCTGGCCCGGGATGGTCTAGCGCTGCGTTGAGCTGCGCTGAAGCGAGGAGGGGAGAGCTTCGAGTTGGATGTACTTGACACTAATTCAGACCATACGGCTCGGTTTGTTTTCCGTCCAGCCTGGCAGCACGCGGACTGTTTCCAATTTAGCCGTAATCTGCCCGTGCCGCCGGTTTAGCCCGGGGCCTTGCACGCCGCGTTTCATGTGTGAGGACTTTGCCGCTCCCCACCCCCAACCCCCCCCCCACATCCCTGCCTCTCTCCCTCCCCCCACCACCACACACCCAAGAACCCTCCCCTCCCACAACCTCTCCTGCCGCCTGTCCATTTTAACCCTCACCCCCCCCCCCACTGCGCGTTCCCCTGCTGAGAGTGCACACTAATAGGTCACGTCTGCAACAACTGGCCGCGTACGGTTACCGCCGTTATTGCCGTTCCGTAAGCCGGTGCGGTGATTGTGGCAAGGGTCCTGAAATTGATTTTGCGTTGAAACGAAGTTCAGTAAAAAAAAAGTACGGGGGAGTTGTCCGAGATTGCGATCCGACCAGGTCTGGGTTTCTGGGAGCGAGGTTGCCCGCGCTCAGAGCAATTTCCATCCGAGACGCGGAGAAGTCCGCATTGCTCGCTCGTAATAATTTTCAGCTTAATCGCCGAAGTCAGAATTTGAGCGTCAGCCCGAGCGAGCTGCAGCCCTGCCGTGCGTCAACGGAGATTAGGGCAAAAACTCTCCTTTTTTTGTGCTGCTCCCCAAATACAGTATTACGGAAAAGAATATTAACACCGCACAAAGCCAATTTATCAATTTAACGGATTTGACAACTCATTTTGACAACTCACAATCACGCCTCGCCCACCTACGGCGTTGGAGTGCGGCGCACGCGCTTATGAATCTCACGGCGTAATGGCAAACAGCTGCCCCGGCGCGGCGCCGAGCCACCGGCGGCTTTGGCAACGAGCGCCGCGCTCTGCTGCTCTGATGCCGGCCCCGCCGTTTGAACCGAGATGAATAAAACGGGGGTCCCGAGTGTCCGCCCTCCGTCTCTGCCGATCGCCGGCAGTTTACGTGACGGTGCTCAAAATGCTCGCGCCGAAATCGAAGGGCCGCGTGTTTTTTTATTTGGGTGCGTTTTTGCGTCGTTGCCTTTTATCTCCGCATCGCGGGACGGAGGAGCACTTGCAGCGAACCCGGCGGCAGTGGCAGTGGCCGTGCACGCGCGCGCGTTACCACGAGCAGCTGTGCGCGCGCCGCTCTGCGGTACACGCACGCTGTGCTGTGCGTGCTGTGCGTGCGCGCGCACTGAGCGAAGTGCACGCATCGGATAAGTGCCCCTTGCTTCCGTGCATTCGATGGGCGGTGCATCGCTTTTGCGTGCTGCATTGGTGGTGTGCGTGTTGTGTTTGTGCGTATCAGGTGATCGCGCTGCGCATGTTCCGTGTCACGGTGCACTGTGCCACCGCTGCGAGTGTTTTGGAGCCGTCGCTCCGGTTTTACGTCTCGCCGCGTTTTATTCTCCAGCTGTAAAACGTCACGGTGGAGAGAACCGATTCGGACGTTTGTAGGGACCCCGGGGGGGTGGGTGCAGTCAACCCAGGGCTGGGTCTGTCCACGCTCACCTTCCTCTTGATCTGGGTCGGGCAGGCCCTGGGTACCAGGAGGGGGTGGCGTGAGCAGGAAGGGCGGACAGCGATGCTGGTGGTGCGTATAAAGAAGACATTCATGGCTCGGCCGTCAGCATTTGTTAGCGGTTAGCGAGATTCTTTTAAACAAACGCCGGCACCTTGTCACTTGCGAGCGCGTGATTTTCGCCGGACGTCACGGTGCCCGCGGGATTTCCTGTGTTGAACGCCGCACAGTAACCGCGCGGAGGTTGGATGTGGGCGCAGTCGTGCGGTCGGCAACTCGGCTGATGAAACGACGAGGGTTGTCAATCTCGGAGGGCGTGTGAATGATGTGAAATAATAAATAAAGTGAGCAAAACAGGGAGGAGTTTCGAGCGCAGTTTAACTTTTCCATTTTATTTATTCTCGTCAGTTCGTGTGTATTGTGTGTACTGATTGTGAGCAGTGTATTTGTATCGTAATTACTTCCTTCCTTTGTGATTCGCTGGTAATTATCTCAAACGCCGCTCTCTTTCCGACTCCTCAATATGCACTGCGTGGGAGGCGCGGAAATAAAAATAATAAACGATGCCGATTGTCCACCTCCTGACCCCCAACCCCGGTCCCCGCAGGACGGTGGTGATGCCGATCGCGGGGGAGTTTTCCCCGGAGCTGGTGCTCGTGTCGGCCGGGTTCGATGCCGTCGAGGGTCACCCGCCGCAGCTCGGCGGCTACAGCGTCTCCGCTAAGTGTGCGTCCTGCACACCGCCACTGCCACCTTACCCCTTGCCCCCCCCCCCACAGCTCCCGTCCGTCACTCCCACCGTACACCCTCGGGCCGAACTCGCCCGGCGCCTCCTTGCCCCCGTGTCCCCGCGACCTCTTGGCGGCGCCAGCGGGAGAAATGCGAACGCCGGCCGCGGTGAACTCTGAACCCTGGGAGGCCCCTGTGGTGGCACCGTACGCTCCATGCTGGAGCTCGGTGTACATTCCCCCTTGGCTACCCCGGACGAGTGGCGATGCTACGCCATGGTTGGTCACTCGAGGGGGGCGATGTTCATACTGGGGCCGAGGTCGGGATTTGGCTGAGGTCAAGGTCAGAGCCAAGGTCAGGTTTGGGGGTTGTTGGGTCAGCGCCAGCGCGCTCGTTGCTGGCCGCAGTGGCATCGCCGGCACCGGCTCTCTGTCTCCTTTGCGTCTCCCTTCTTCTCCAGCCCCACAGCCGATTCTTCTCCTCTCTCACACCGTGCCAAAGAAAAAATGGAAAAGCTATTAGCTGTGAAATTATTTGCGCGACATTTCTAAGCTTCATTTGTTATATTTACGCACTGCTAAATTGCCTGGCCTTTGCCCGCTGTTTATGTCCCCCAAGTTGAATGGTTTTCACATCAAAACGCTGTCTGCTTTATAAAGCAAATTGTTTAAAAACGGTTCTGTGTTTACTTGGGAGCGGGATGGATCCCACGCACATTTGCACCTTCCCACCGCCCACTGCCAAGGCCCATGCACGGGCGCCACGCTCACATCCGGACACAATCGCTGGCAACATCATTACTCCAGCCCGGCCGCACGCAGCCTTGGTGCTCTCTCTCTTTCTGTACGTTTTTGTGTGCACGTGTGTCTCACTCCTCCCCTCTCGTACTCTCCCTCCGTGCCTCTCATCCAGTTTGAGATGGGTCGCCCGTTCACGACTGGAAATACTCTGCTGCACTTGAGCGTTGGAGGCAAGGTTAGCGTTTGGATTATTGTTATGGCAATTAGTTTTACATTGGGCTTAGGTATCGTTCATCATGTGAGTTTTTTCAATCCGCCACTCCCAAAACTCCTTATTCAACGCAGACGTTGCTTGAGCGGACGTTGAGCAGAGCTCTCTCGCTGCGTCAAGCTTGCGGCGAGCAGCGCCACATTTCTCGGCTCGATTTTTTTGCAGATTTTTTGTTAGTTTTTTTTTCCCACATCGCCGGCAAAAACCCAGATGGTCAAGGCCACCCGCGATCCCCCACTAGGGGCCCGAGGCCTGGCCCTGCCCCAACCAACAGCGTCGACAGTGGCCAGAGGGACCCGATGGCCGAGCGTGCGGGGCGAGGTGGTTTGTACCTCCCTGCCGTGCTCGCCCGGGCGGCCCCGTGGGCGTCGATTTGAAAGGGAGGAGCGGGGTCACGAGGAGCACGGGACTCGGGGAGAGAGGTCGGCGAGGAGAAGGAGATGGGAGAGGTGGCGGGGGTGCTGACGGAGAGACATCTGTTAACCGATTCCAACACTTACTTAAACCTCCCCCCCCCCAACCCTCCCAGCCTTAGCTCCCTCCCGACTCGGTCTGTTTATCTCATCAGCGTACCGCAGCTGTGTAGTGCGATGAGTGGGTGCATTAGGGGGGAGGGTGCCGTCCGCCCGCCCGTCCGCACGGATGGGTATGAGTGCATTGCGTAGGGGGACGAGGAGTCTGGAGTGCCGCTCCAACACACCCCACCCGGCCCAGCCTCCGTGCCGCACTCCCCTCGTGGTGCGGGTGATGACGACTCCCGCAATCAGCAGCAGACGGCGGGGAGGCCGCGAGTGGTTTTCCTTGCGGTGGTGAGAACGCCGCTGGGAAATGCTGCGTCACACTTTCTGCTGCTGCCGCCGCCGCCGTTGCTGCTACCGCGTGATCCTGGGGGCTTGGGCGTTTGGGAACGGCGCGACCTGCAGACCGCCGTTGAAAAGGGCGCCGTGACGCACGTGTCACGTTGACATAACGTGGACGGTGTACTTGAGATGACGGTGAACCTGATGACGCTGCTCACAGTGTGGATACTGATGTTGCTGTTGCTTCTCATGATGATCACAAAAATGTTGCTGCTTACTGTACATCTGTGAAAAATGGCATCGCTCTTTGGATTCCTCCAGTATAAATAAATATTCTGATTCTGCTGCTTCTGATGACCATCATGCTGCTCATGCTGCTGATGACCATCATGTTCATCTTTCCCATGTTGCTCGTGATCATTATCTAGATTCTGCTGCTGATGAGGATGGTGAAGAAGACGACGACGATGCTGCTGATAGTGATGTTTACCTTCTGTTTGGTCTGCCTTTTGAGCCGCCGGGCAGACCCTTGTCAGTTGGTCCTTGCCAGGGTGACGTTCACATCCTGCCCCGTGCGCGTCTGCCAAAGTCGGCGCACGCGATGCCGTCGTGACGGCCGTGCTTTTGTTGGACCGCTCGGCGCGGCGGCGACCTCGCCGCCAAACGCGGCTTTCAACTGCACGTGCCGTGCAGGGGCGGCACCGTGACCAGCATGCTCTGTTTAGGGAGCGTGGGTGTGCGTGTGTGCTGGGAGGGTGTGTGTGCTGGGAGGGTGTGTTTGTGCGTGTTTGTAGTACAGCAAGTTAGCGCTGCGCTACAAACTCAGACGGCCCGAGTTCGATTCCCGCTCATGGCCAACACCAATGATGATTATTTGAACCGGTACTCGGCCTCCCCTAAATGAGTACCTGAGGCAATGTGTAAACATCGCCACTGGGAGACAAAGGCGGCCGTGCATGGCGCTGGCCTCCCACCCCCTCATGTGCTGTGCTGGCCTTCATAGGTGCTCGCAAACAGCACTTGCCCCAACAGTCTGTTGAAGGCGATACGGGGAATCATTGTCTTTGTGTTCGTTGGGATAATGTGTATGTGTGTCCTGGCAAATTGTGTGCGTATGTGCATGCAGGATGTGTGTGTGTGCTGTGTGCCGGGAGGGTATATGTGTGTGTGCACGTTGGGAGTGATTGTGTGTGCTTGTGTTCTGGGAGATTGCGGGTGTGTGTGCTTCTGTGAGTGTGCAGGCCCTTTTCTTGCACCTGGCTGTGGGACTGCTACCAATCAATGCTTAATCATGAGCCGAGTCTCGTCCCGACGCATATTTCCCTGACCACAGCGCACATGTGTTGCGTTTTCATGCTCTTGCTTGTATTCCAGTTTGCACGTGTAGGCGCGCGTGCGTGTGTGCGCGGGCATCCACGTGCGCGTCCGTGTGTGCATGCAACCCAAACAAGCATGCACGTGCCTCTGCGGCACGGTGCGGTTGCTTTAGAGCGGTGCGGTTGCTTGAGAGAGCAGTGCGGTGGACCCGCCGGCCACTCATACAAACACCGACCATGCCAGATGCTCCCTACCCACCAGGGCCCCAACATTCCGTCCAGGCCAAAAGCACGCTATCCCATTTTGTTGTGCATGTGAGCGTGTGGATGCACATGGTTGTGTGTGCGTGTGTATGTACGCTTGTCCTCCGTGTGTGTGTGTGTGTGTGCGCACACGTACGCGTTAACCCATAACCCCCTTGGCCCGTCCTGTGACCTCCCTGCCCATCGAGCCTTCAACAATTCACGTGACCCGAGCATGCTGCTAGCCTGTCGCAAGCGCCGCGGTGCTCCACTTAGCGGGTGACAAGTGGTGGCGGCTGTTGCTGCCTGCGTACATGTGTGCGTGCGTCCTTATCATGTGTGTACCCGTGCGTGCGCCCGTGCGTGCGCTCTCGCGCAGGCTTCGGGTACCTGACGCGGCAGCTCATGAGCCTGGCGGGCGGACGCGTTGTGCTCGCGCTCGAGGGTGGACACGACCTCACCGCCATCTGCGACGCCTCCGAGGCGTGCGTCACCGTGCTGCTGGGCAACCAGGTGATGGCCGCGACGCACGCTGCACGTCCGGGGCATCGCAAAAGACGCCTCGGTCTGGCCGATCGCCGCTGTCGTGCCTTTTGGTGTACTGTTTGTGTGTTTTGCGCGAGCGGCGACCGCTCGTGCCCCCCCCCCCCCCCCCCCCCCCGTATGCTCGTTGGCACGTGGAATATAAACATTACCGAGCTGCCGCGTGTGGACCAAATTCGTTGGCGCGTGTCGTGAACCGGGTCCTGCGAGATCCGACCATCGTCCGTCGTCCAGTGCTCCCCGAGCTGTTATTGGCTTCCGGTTTCCAAGCGAATAAATTACGAGGTCGCACTCGATTACACACAGAGTGCTTGCCGCAAATGAACCCCACAATGCCTTGCTGCTGATCTCGTCAAGGAGCATGAACCATCACCACGCCAACTCCGGTCATCGTCACAGCGGCTCTTGGCTCGGCCATCGAGCAAAGACGGTCACCGCATCGAACGCTTTCAGATGCGCTTCTGCGGCCGTCTGGAACTCACTTCCAATATTAGCTATGCACTTTTACATCTAGGTTGCAAACTAATTTCTTTAGAACTGATTTTTGTGTTTTAGTTTGTTGTCCTTCCCCCGCACCTCCGATTAGCACGGTCGGCTACGTTCAGTGCGAAAGACGTTCAACGTACGTACGTGCATCAATGTGAAACGAACGAAAGCACAAATGAAAGCAGATTCCTCCAGGATGAATACAGATTATGATTCCGGAGTTTGGTCGAGCAGGGAGCCGTCGCTACGCCTCAACCCCGTGACCTCGACGAAAAAGCCGTCGCCAGTCCTCGGGGGGGCGGGGGGGGGGGGTTGGAATCCACTGCCACTGAGCGCAGAGCATCGGGAGGGAGAGATGAATATGAATGAGGGGAAACCGATCTACGCATCCAAGCTTACCCTCGGTGATCAACGGGCGGTGTGAAGGTGTTTGCTTGCCAAATCGCTCGTCACATCCCTCAAAAAAGATTCTGATAAGAGTATTGCCAGACGCTGCGCCGCGCGCGCCATCGATTCTCGGGGGACAGACGCAACTTATTACCGCGGACACTTCGTGTAATGGAGCACGCAGGCAGGAGCGCCATCTCGATGTTCCGAGGGACCTTGTGCGCAGACGGTGAAATCTGGCCTCAACCCCAGTCCCCGGCAGTTTTAACTCGTGGCACATTGTTGGAGGCCCCTGTAGAGGAAGTGGATCACACCCATTCTGCTTCGCTTGAGAGCGGCACTCAATATAAAAGCTTGCAAGGATCACATCAAGAATGAAGAAAATCTACAAAGGCACCCAAAGAACGCTGGCTCCCAAGGACAACAGGCTGTGATTCATTACAATGATTATGATGGTGGCTCTGACACCGTTGTGGAAATTCCACATTTTTTTTCCGGCCGGCAGTCAGTTTCTAATTTCATGACAAGTGTTGACTTCCCACAAAACCGGTACTCCTGTTGCTGACTCTGAGGCATGATGATGACGTTGATGATGATTGATTATGATTGACGATTATGATGTCGGTGATGCTGCTGCTTTGGAGGAGGGGGGGGGTCGACACGACGCTAAAGACAGTGGAGGTGGCCACATCATGGAAGGCGGAGAGTGGTGCGCACGTTTTGTGCGGTCCGGCAATATTCTGACCGACTGGCTTTATGACCATCTTACTCACTGTCTGGCTGTCTTGCTGGCAGACTGTCTGACTGCCCTATTGCCTCCTTGACTATTTTATTGACCCTCTGTCTGTATCACTGTCTTCCTGTCTGCCCAACCTTGTGTCTTCCTGATTATCCTCCGGGCCTTGTATCTTACCGACTGATTGACTATCTTACTCATAATAGAGGGGTTTTTTTTGGGTTAGATGGCTTAAATATAAATGTTTCGTTAAACCCGCCACCACCCGACACAGTCAATTAATTAGTAACGTTTGTCACGTAAACAAAACGTGCCAATTAGTTACTAGCTCAGCACACCGGTGTGTTGGAGAGTAAACCCACAACATTTACAAATTGTGTGAGTTTACTCTCCAACACACCGGTGTGCTGAACGAGTAACTTATTTGTTTGTTTACGTCACAAATCTTACTAATTGTCTGTCGGGTAGCGGCGGGTTTAACGACACAACATTTATATTTACGTGACCTAACCCAAAATAAAAAAAAAAACCCTGTCGTGGATAATAATGGTCGCGAAAGGAACGAAAGCGGGTTTCCCCCCACGTGCCGTTTGCGTGCCCTGTGGGGACCAGGCAGGCACCGGATTCCTCCGCCGTTGCTCGTGGACTCTTTTTTTTTGTTAGCGGTAGCGGCGCACGTGGGACCGGCTTTGGATTTTCCCAAAGCAGCGGTCGAAGCCGTGGTATTTTTGCGTGCTGCCGACCCCGCCGTGTACCACACGACGCCCGTGCGCGGCGCGCAATTCCAAACGACCGCACGTCCCATCGCTCGCACGCGACGTGCCCCCGCCGCTGCACAGCTACCTCGCAGGTGGCGGCTCGTGACGTAGGAGGAGGATGAGTAGCGTGCCGCAGCGTCGCCCTCGTGATTTAGAGGAGCAGTGGTGGGGGGGGGAGGCTGTCCAAGCCCCTGGCGCGCAACTTCAAAGTGACCACAAAAAACACTGCGAGGGTTAGAAACAAAGCTGGCCACGTGGCTGTGGAAAGAGGACAGATTTCTGGGGATGAGATGAAAACCGGAGTAAAGTCACGCTTCTTTTGCCAGCAATCAAATTCGTTCCAAGGCTCCGCTCTCTCTGTGCCGAAGTCAACCCTTCAAACTCGAAGTGTGTGGACAGCGAGTGCTAACGATGGTGGGCATCTCGGCGCATCTGTTTGGATCGCTCTCCCGTGCAGTTTGCTTCCCTCCGCTTGAAAAAAGGCGGAATTCGGGGCAAGAATTTCAACGCCCGGGCTCTTTCGCGCCCGCCGTCAAATCGCGGGCGGGTTGAGCACTCGTCCTTTGGGAGGAGGGCGCGGACGCGGTCGGCGATGGCGAAGAGAAGAGGCCGAGGGTTTCGATCAAATGATCTTGAAACTGGAGGCCGTGCCAGTTTTAGGCGTTTTTCTCTAGGCCGCGGTGATATATCGATGCTCGTGTCGCGCGATATCACACTGTGCCTGCGTTATCGCACTGTGCCTGAGAGCGCGCCAGTTCCCGTAATGCGTACGTAGTGAGTCGTGACAAAAAAACGCACAACACAGGAGAAAGTGTTACGAAAGTGTCTCACTCGAGCACCACGTGTCGTCAAGTGTGGGGGGGGGGGGGGGCGGGGGGTGGCATCGGTGTCCACTTCCTGTTGGGGGGATTTTCCCCAAATTGTTCCCAAAAACACCTGGACTGTCCGCGCCTGGGCTACACGGGTCTACGTGAAACGCGCGCGCGTGTCTCGCGTGTCGACAATCCTTTAACCCTTCCTTGCGAATCTTTCCCCGCCCCCCCATCCCCCCCCCCCCCCCCCGGTGCAGCTTGAGCCGCTGCCTGCCGATGTCCTTCAGTGCCGGCCAAACCAAAACGCGGTGGCGTCGCTCGAGAAGGTCATCCAGATCCAGGGTGAGGCCTGCACGTGCGTGCGCTCTCCCACGCCATCGGACGCTGCCCCGCCCCTTCCACCCACCCCGCACCCCCCTGCACCCTCTCATCCCACCCACGCCCCTACGCGCCACACCGCGACGCGTACGTCATGAGGTCGGCACTCATTACACGCACACACAAAGTCCTTGCCACAAATGAACTGCAATAGCTCGCTGATCTCGTCAAAGGAGCACAAACCATCGCGCGAACTCCCCAGACACCCTCGCAGCAGCGGTGGGTTTGGGCTGACCATTGAACAAAGACGGAGGTCACCGCATCGCGCGCTTTTCGGTGCGCTTCCGCGGCCGTCTGGAACGCTCTACCTTCCGATATCAGGAAGCCACTGGAGCTATGCACTTTTTTTTTACATCCAGTTTGAAAACTCATTTCTTTATAACTGCTTTTTGCGTTTAGTTTGTTGTCCTTCCCCCGAACCTCTGATTAGCACGGTTGGCTACGTACGGAAGTTCAACATATACATACATACAGGCCACACGTATGCCCCACCCCTCCCCCGCCACTCATCCCACCCGCACCTGCCCTCTCGGAGTAGCCCCCCCCCCACGCCCACCACACCACAATCCAGACAGGCTGCACCAGCAGCATTACCAGCTGCGTTGATTTTTTTTTTACAGAACGCCCTCCCGTATCGGCGGTACATCTATAACGCCTGTCGGGTTCGCGGGGGGGCTGTGCTGTGGGCGGCAGATTACCGTGCAGGAATTGTCTCGTGACGTGCTCGCACGCCTCCACCAATGCCGCACTCGACCGACGGAGTGAAGCATGGCCAAAATAACCCCCTCCCCCCACAACTTACGCGGCTTACGGAGACACTCCCCCCCCCCCCCCCTGCCGCCCCATCCAGCTGTGGATCACTGAAAGGGGTTAATGGCGCGTGCGTTCGTCGTTGGACAGAACGATGATTCTGGGTTGCCTGCGGCAGCGCCGTGGCAACGTCGCGGTAGCTGGTCCAGCGTCGATCACGCCACCTCGCTCTCTGCCCGCGTTGCCGATGTGTCTGCCGTGTCTCTGGCTATGCGCGAGCGCCTGACCTTGTCCACGCGCGTGCAGGGAAGCTGTGGCCGTGCGTGTGCCGCTACGCACGCTCGCTGGCGCTGTCGCTCGTCGAGCTCCAGGGCCACGAGCGCGAGGAGGCCGACACCGTCACGGCGCTCGCCTCGCTCACCGTGGCCGGCCGGCAGCACAGCGCCGACGAGGAGGGCAGGTGCGGGCGGCGCCGTCGCGCCAACATCGCCGAGGTGGCGCGGGGGTCAGAGCGCCAAGCTGGCCACCGCAGAGACGCTGGGTTCGAATCCGGGCCTCGGCCATCCGTGATTAAAATTCAATCTTTAATTGTAGTGGAGTTGATGTTCTCAATCCGAGTCGCCAATGACTGGCACAACGCAGCGTCGATAAAATTGCTTCTGATTTTATTTTGGCCAAATTCCAGCTCTTTGACGACAAAAATGAATGTTTTGCCACGTTCAAAGCGACCACCGCTCCACCGCACACCGCCCCGCCGCTCCTTTGCCCCAAACCGAGTGCCGTGCGGGTGCCGTGTGTCCGTGCAGGCCGCCCGAGGAGCCGATGGAAGAGGGCTCCGGGGCGTAGGAGCCGCGGGGGCGCCGGCAGGGTCTGTTCCCCGTCTCGCGACCACCTTTCCTTCGACGGCGGCGGCGGCCGACCACACTGGCCGTGGAATTTGTTTTGTTTTTCGGGAGAATCGGCTGTGGCCCACCCCCCCCCCCACCCCCCTATCCCCCCGCCCCCACCTCCACTGGCCACGTCCGCCTCCACAGCAGCTCGGAGCCGCGGGAGAAGGGAGGCGGTGGTGGCGCCCCCGCGGTGACGGTGACGCTGCGGTTACTGGCGCGGCGAGCCGCCCGCGGTGCTGCGCCCACGCTCGCCACCGCTGCCCCGACGCCCTCCGCGTTGGCGAGGCCGGGCGTCGTTGCGGTCTGCGCATAGTAGGGGGGGGAGGCGGCTGGGGGTGAGACACGTTGACGTGCGAGTGCTTGGCCGCAGCGGGGGAACAGGGAGAGCGTGCCCACCGTGGGGTACCGTAGGTCCTTGAGTTCTTAAGCCATGGCGGTGTCACGGCGATACCCAGAGTTCATAGCTTTAGGCGTCGAAGCGGCGAACCGTTTACAAAGAAGGCTTCCGGCTGCTGGCGTTCGGGGCTGGTGACGCCACTCAGCTGCAGGGGCCACCACCGCCAACAACAACATCAACAAGGTTTTTCCCAAATAATCACAACAGTAATAATAATCGTAATGATGATGGCAATGACCTTCATCGGTTATGGATTGCCACGACAGTGGCTAAGGCTGCGCTGTTGGTCCAGAAGACAACGGGTGGCGTTACCTCCACCGTAACAACACTCCGGAAAGGCCGTGTGGATGTCGACGCTCGTCAGGGGGCTGTAACGCAACCGAGCTGTCCAAATCGCCGGCACATTTCTTAAAAGGTATTTGAAGTTGGCCGCGTCGGGCCGCGCGTGTACAGGTGAGGGGTGCGGGGGGGGGGGGCCCAAGCGCTGGAGCCAGCGACACCGGCAGGTATTGGAGGTTGCTTTTTTTCGGCAAGGCCGTCGTTGACTTGGGGCGCTGGGACGATTGTGCCTTCGTGACCGCTTTTTCGGTTGAGTTGGGGGGGGGGGTAGTGGGGCGACGGCTTCCGCGGAAACACAGCCTTAAATTCTCACGGACGCTCGGCTCGTCCTGTTCCTCAACGTCTTTTTGTTGAATGTAAAAAAAAACAAACACTGAATTCACGTCTTCACCCCCCCCCCCCGACGTAAGAAAAGATTAAAGGAGGAATCACACACGAAAAGCACTTATTGTAATAAAATCGGGACGCCTGGCGGCTCTCCAGCTTTTCTACGCATGTTTGTATTTATGAATGCCCGAGCTATAGGAGATATTTATTTGGGTGGCAGGCAGTTCGCTCGTGACCACTTCGGCTTTTGAAACTACTCGCCCTTGCCGCGCATCTCAAAAGAATGTTTCAAATGACCAAGCAGTGTTATTTTGTACCGAACGTTTTCGTTCTCGACTTGTCGAGTTTTCATTTTTTACAATGATGAATATTATTATTATTTCTTTTGTACTTTCATACTAAACGATCATCCGAACCCCGCCAGCTTCTTTTAACCCGTGCTGGGGGGGGGGTTAAAGGTCGCTTCGTTTGTCACTTAAACGGGCGAGCCTCGGGTCTCGCGGCTGCGCGATATTTTTTCTGCCGCGTTCTGAGCGCGCGAACGGGGAAGGGGGGGGGGGGGCAAAGAGTGCTCCTTGGTTTGTGGATTGTTCCCAACCTCCCCTCCACCCACGCCCAGCACGGAGTGGACTGCATGATGCGCGCGCGCGCGTACGTAGTTATTTCGGTGACCTTCCAACAGTTAACATCTACTTTCTGTATAGTGATCGTCACGTATTTACTGACCAGCTGGAGTACTCTCGCAGTTGCGAATGACCTGAGGTATAACGACATACAGAAATGGACAAGTACTCCTGTTGTTGTTGTTTTTATATTCTACTTGTTTTCAATGACAGTTACCCATTTCACCCACGACACACACACACCAGAGGTGTTCTGAAAGGGGGCTGCGTCCTGTTGGTAGGCCTGATTGAGGTTACCGGCCGGTACCTGATCCAGCGTTGTTCTGCTCTGACTGCAGTCGGCAAGTCTTCTTGTGGTAGCTCTCGAGCTGTTCTGAGGGCCGCCCCAGTTAAACGGTTTCCCCGCAAGCCTGGCCACCAGATCGCAGATCGTACAGCGGCCCGAACCCATGGTGCAATGCAGGGGTGTCATCTGGGATAATTTGTTATGCCGGTTCGTGACGGGGATACCTGGCAGCGCTGGTGAGGCCACGTTCAAAATAACACAGAGGCTTTTGCCTGTAGGGTGCGCTGACTGTACTAGAGCAGTTAACTCTGGTGAAGAGTACTCTTCTCGCGTCTTGTGCTGTGTCGAGACATACTCTTCGTTGTTCTTTGCGGTGGCTAACAGGCAGGCACTCTGAAAAACTTCATTTACACCGATCGGGGACCGATCTGGGTCTGTCATTCTTGACACAATACACAATCTCTATCTGGCCCATTTTCAGCAAATACCACTCTTGAATGCCACCTCCAGTAATTCCATCCAATGGATGAAAACGCTTAAGATTTGCAGTGCATGATGTACGTTGTTCACTCGCCAAACGTATTAGCTCCAAGGATTATGGTCGCCATGGCATGACAGGCATTGTGCCATTACTATGCAGAGTGACGGAATCTTCCGGCAGCAATCGGCTGCTCCATCGCTACCGTGTCTTGGTGATCGTCAACGTGGGTTCCGTCCGGCACAATCTACAGGTGGCCTCTGTCGGCTTACGTGACTCGTGTTTGGAACTCAAGCCTTGACCATTTTGGAGAGTCTACGATCATGGCCCTTGACATCGCTCGAGCGTTGGATCGTGCCTGGCACCGCACGCAACATGCCAAGCTCCACCCGTCATCTGGCTTCCACCCGAATCTGTACCCTTATATTTTCATCTCTCTTTTTTTCAAATCTGCAGTCCAGTAGTGGGTGGTGGCCAATCGGACGCCTTCGCGATTGACTCTGGTGTTCCGCAAGACGTTATTTCTTCTCTTCAGTTCAGACTGACTCATCCAATCCATTCGACCACCACACTGTAGGTCACGACACCTCTCTTGGCACGTTCCCTCGCACTCAATTCACGCCTGTCAACCCCTTATCAGTGCCCTACCTTATTACAGACCAATTCAGACTTTATTGGTCACCCCGTGCCCCTTACAAATCTCAACGTTCATCCTACAAAGTCCCATCCCTAGGGAAAAACACAAATAGACAAAAATTATGTTCCGAAACAAAAACTGTTTTATGTATTCATTTTTTTATAATTGGTGTCGGTGATGCTACTTATCATGCTACGGTCAGTGGGGATCGCTACTTTCCAGAGTAAAAAAAAAAATGTCCCACGACTTTTTTTTATTTGGCCGTATGATTTTATTGCTGCCCGTATTGAAACGGCTGAACGCCGTATGGACCTGAAATCTCAATTTCCTTGTACAAGAAGACGGGTAAACCGTATTGGATGACAGCTATGTGAATTCCCTCCCATCGCCTCTTTTCCCCAAGCTCCTATAACCTTGCTCTATTCAAGAAGCCTGTTTCACCCTTATACTATCTATTACTACTCCGATCGTGCTGTGCTGTTGGTTTGATGGACGCTTGACGTGCTGGGCCTGTGACCCTCTGCTGACAAATTGTGTAAAAGAAAACGCCATTATTTTTCCACATACGTACAAACAAACACAGACAAACATCCCCTGTATAGCCTTAACAGACTGTTGGGGCAAGCGCTGTTAGCGAGGACCTATGAAGAACGAAACTGCACACGAGAAGGGGTGGGTGGCCAGCATCACACCCGGCCGCGTTCTTCACATCTTCTGGGATCCCTCGTAGTCGAGTAAGATTTCCCTCCAGGTGTCACTTGTCCGTGTTGTGAGATGGCTGAATAGGCCAATCCGTGACCTGCAGATCTTCGCACAGTGAGGGCACGGATGGGCCATCCTGGGGCTCCCCCTCGTCGTCTCTGTCTCTGGTGTACATGCTTTACGGCATGCTCTTTTACTGGCTATCAACTCTCTTCGCTCGGCCTCAAAATGCTGAATTCCATTGTTTTTTTTGGCCTTCCATGATGGTCTATCAAGAGCATAGATTTCCCATTTGTTTGGATCTATGTGGCTTCGCTTGAGGTACATTTTAAGGTTGTCACAGACACACTTCCTTTGACCTCCGGGGGCACGTGATCCATCGCTGAGCTGGGAATAGAAGATTTGCTTCGGAAGCCTCGAGTCATGCTCACAAGGTGACCTGCCCATCTGAGAGTTGATACTTGATCATGATGGCCTCTATGCTGGATGAGTTGGATCGCTCCAGGACACTGATATTAGTTTGTCTTTCTTCCCATGTGATGCTTAGTATTTTCCTGAGACAGCGTCGATGAAACATTTCGAGAGATTTTACGTGTTTACGATAAGTGGTCCAGGTTTCTGCACCGTATTAGAGGGTTGTAATGGTCACAGCGTTATACACAGCCACTTTGGTCTTGGTGGAATTGTCGTGGTCTTCAAAGACCCTGTTCTTACGTTTGCCAAAGGCAGCACAAGCTCTGGAAATCCGATGTATTTCATAATCAGTTGAGACATTGCTAGCGAGATGTATGGGAAACTGGGAACGTTTTTTTAGTATTGCATTGTTGGTAATGCTTGTAGGGGGGGGTAGGTGTCCCCCCAGAGCTTGTTGAAAAATAATCTTTGTTTTGCTGGTATTCAATGTTAGACCCATCCTGCTGTAAGCATCTGTAAATATGTTGACGATGACCTGAAGGTCAGCTTCTGAGCAGGCACTGACTTGGGCATCAGCACCATATTGGAATTCAATAACGGATGTGATTGATGTTTTTGACTTGGCTCTGAAACGGTTGATGTTGAATATGTTCCCATCTGTCCTATATGTGATATTCATGCCTCTGGGAAGTCTTTTCTCTGTCAGATGAAGCATTCCCGCCAGGAAGATGGAGAAAAGAGTTGGTGCAATAACGCAGCCTTGCTTCACACCGGTCCTTCGATTGGCTCTGAGGTTTAGCCATCAGAGAGAATGACAGCCTTCACACCATGATGCAACAGACGGAGGACGTTAACAAATTTTGTTGGGCAGCCATGTATCAGAAGGATTCTCCATAGTGCATCACGATTAACAATCAAAAGCTTTAGTCAAATCAAAGAAGACACCATGTACAATGATAGTCTATGCTCCTGGCACTTCTCTTGGAGTTGATGGGCTCAGAAGATCATGCATGAGGTTCCCCTGTTAAGTCGAAAACCACTCTTGGATTCATGAAGGAGTTTTTCAGCAAGTGGTAGAAGTCTGTTTAGTAGGATTCTTGCCAGTATTTTCCACCAGTGGCAAGAAGAGATATTCCTCTATAGTTGTCACAGTTTGACTTGTCACCTTTTTTTAATACGGTGACAATGATGGCATCTTTCAGTTCGTTGGGAAGATCTTCATCATTCCAGATGCTGGCCATAAGGGAATGCAGGTGTTCCAGTAGGCGTTGTCCTCCATGTTTGTAAATCTCAGCAGGAATCTGGTCCAGCCCAATAGCTTGGTTCTCTTTCATCTGCTTGACAGCTTTAGCCACTTCAAGCATCGTTGGTTCTCCAGCTAAATCCTCAGTGGTGGAGTGTTGCAGAATCTCACTGAATATTAAAGCGTCTACAACAGCGTTGCAGTCGAACAGAGTGCTGAAGTGTTCCTGCCAGCGGGAGATAATTTCATATTTGTCTTAGAAGGGTTCTGTCCCATCCTTAGACTGAAGTGGCGCAAGGCCCTGTTTTGACGGTCCATTTAAGACTTTGGTTGCTTTAAAAAAAATCATGTGGGTTATTGGAATCTACAAGATGTTGTATTTCTTCTGCTTTGTTTATGAACCATTTGTTCTTTAGTTCCAGGATTTGAGTTTGTACTTCCGATTTGGCCTCCGTATATGATTGTTTTTTTTCTGTCCAGACTTTGTGTTGTTACCAGGCGATGAACACTTTCCGCTTCTTGTCAATGAGGCCTGTGATTTCCTGGTCGTTGTCATCAAACCAGTCGCAGTTTTTCTTTCTTGTGTAGCCAACGGTGTTTTTATAGCTGGTTATAACTGCCGTCTTCAGTTGTGTCCAGTACTCGTGAACATTTCCTGAAGCCTGGTTGGTGCTAAGTCTTTGAGCTAGTTATTTCAGTGGGGCCTGTACTGCTGGGTCTTTTAGTCTGGTTACATTGAGTCTTTTCCTCTGTGGTTTTGGTCGGTTGATGTATTTGGGGTTTAGTTTTCTGAGTCATCACTGATCGAATTAGTCTGTGGTCAGTCCAGCAATCGTCTGCATTGATCATGGCACGAGTGATGCGGATGTCTGTGCTGTCAAGCTTCCTGACAATCACGTAGTCCAGTAAATGCCATTGGTGTGATCGAGGGTGGCACCAGGAGGTCTTAAGGCTATTCTTCTGCCTGAATAAGGTGTTAGTGATTGTCAGGTCGTACTCAGAACAATTTGTAAGAAGAAGGTGACCATTGGAGTTGGACTTTCCAACTCCCTCTTTACAAATGACACCGTTCCACATTTGATTGTCTCTCCCAACTCCAGCATTGAAGTCGCCGAGGAGAATCAGCTCGTCAGTTTTTGGCGTACTCTGAAGGATTTGGTTGAGTTGGCTGTAGTAGGTCTCCTTGGTGTCTTCTTCAAAGTCCAGTGTTGGTGCATAGGTGCTGATGATGGTTGCATGTTGGTCTTTTGCGTGTTTCAGGCGTAGGGTCACAAAACGCTCATTGCTACCAATTGGGAGCTCGCTTAAGATGCTGATGCGCATGTTGTCTATTGCAAGCTCTACACCATGCAGGCGTCGTTCATGCGCTGGCTTACAATTCCAAAAGAAGGTGTGGCCTCCACCTAGCTCGGTCAGTTGGCCTTCATCCGCCAGACGGGTTTCGCTGAGGGCGGCAATATGGATATTAAATCGTCTCGGCTCGCGTGTGGCACACGAGCTGTTCGGCGCTCTGGACATTGCGAGTTTGGGTTGCCTGTGAGAGTCCTGACATTCCACGATCCAATGTTTAGGTTATATTTCGTTTTGTTTCGACCGCAATTATTGATGCTCCCTCTGGTCGCGGTAAGCCAGACAGATGTTGCTAGGCAGGCTATGTTTAGGGCACCTTTTCTAGCCCCCTCCCCATTTGGCGTGAGCAGAGTGGATCCTGGTGGGTCTGCTCAGTCACAGCAACAGCTGCCGGGATGCACTCCTGCCTAATCCAAATGCATGACGACCTTCTAATAGCCGCCGCCTTGGTGCTGGGTTGTGACTAGGAGCTTCTAACTGCATAGGCCTGCCCCGCTCGCCACTTGCCAATCGCCCAAGGGCTTTGTAGTAGTGTGGTGGTGCGATGGCACAGTTTCCCTGGAGGGTGCCAGTGCGTGAATTAATTTACGTGAAGTGTCTGTTACACACCAGCTATCGCACGGGGATTAACCAGGAACCAAGCCTGGGTCCACTGGCGAGGCAGAAAACCAAGACGATTGGAAGTCTTGTCTTGAAGCACCAGACATCCCGTGGCTCCTCCGCCATATGTCGTTGGCCATCTGGACCGTAGCACATCCGCCCCACCGAGGTGGGCCGTTGGCCACTTGCTATCCACCCGGGATTTTAACCAGAGCCCCATTAGCCAGCGCGCTTCCAGGTGAGTCCCTACAGGCCTTCTTGGTTATCGAAGCGGCCCAGGTGATCGAACCACCCACCATACTTCGCCCTGTCTGGCTACCCTGTACTTTACCTGTTACCACCTCCCACGATATGGACGAGGGGTTGGCCCGCCACTCGGACTCTCCCCTCCAATCGCTTGGCCTCTTCTCCCCGTGTGCGTGTCTTTGGCTAGCAGTGCGGAGTATGGGTAGTGTTGTACATTTAGGGTCTGCGGTGTCTCCCCATCAGCACATCTTTTCATCGCTCAACTCTCTTGTGTTGCTGGCAGTTGTGCAGGAGGCCGGGCTGAGGATGGCAGCGAAGTGCCCGCCTGTGCTGCCGTCCGATTTTCCGGCGGCGATGTTGCCGCCCTCCGCAGCCCGCGCCCCACCCCCTCCCTCGATTGGGTGCAGTTCATTGAGGACGTTGCACGATTTCCACCAATTTTGAACACCACGGCATTTCAGCACCAGGGCCTTGCGATATGGCTCGCGCAGAGTCTTCCAGCGGCCCTGACCCTGTGACACCTGATATTTCACTCCCTGTCTGCGTAGGCGGCATGTGAGGCGCGTCCACAGCGCCTGGTTCAGTTTGTGTTTTTTAACGCCTTTGAAGTGTGCATAGCCCTTTATTCGTGTAATAGTTTCCTCCCGACTCCAATTTCGTTTACGCTCACCAATCACCGTCTCTCCTTCATCTGTGTCGGAGAGCTCCAAGTGGAAAAGCTCCTCCTGCATCTCCTCCTGCTGCATCTGCTCCTGCTCGTGCTCCTGCTCCTCCTGCTGCATCTCCTGCTGCTCCTGCTCCTCCTGCTGCTCATTCTCCTCCTGTTCCTCCTACTGCTCCTCCTGCTGCATCTCCTGCTCCTGCTGCTCCTCCCCCTGCTCCTCCCATTGCTCCTCCAGCTCCTGCTGCTGTCTTCTGCTTTTTCTTCTCCACCTCCAGCAATAGCTTCTTGTAAAGCTCCACCGACTGCGCCTTCATCTGAAACTTCTTGAGCTGCTGCATCAGCGGGGGCTCCTCAATGGACATCTCAGCCTGCAGCTGGAACAACTTTTGCTTAAACTCAATTTCCTGCTGCTGTGCCTCGAGATGCTGCAGATGCAGATTTTGTCTGTTCATGATATTTATCTGCTTCTACCGAAGCTTCGCCTTCTGCTACTCCTTGACCTTCTGCTGATGCTGCTGCTGGAGCATTTGCTCCGACTTCTCGAGCTCCTTTTGCTGCTGCTGCAGCTTTTTCAGTTAAAGTAAATTATCCATCGCCCTTGAAGAAAGTAGGAGTGGATGGGGCGTGTGTATGGTGATTCCGTGAGCTGGAGAGAGAGAGAAACTCATGGTTTTTGGCACGGTACTTTGTGTGGAGCCAGGAACCACCACAGCGTGCTCAGACCAGTGTGGGAACAGGTTTTGAGGAGAACACGCCATCTTCACATATCGCACCAGGCGCTCGTTTGAGGCTGAG